AAAAAGTGACTTATTACCAGTCCTCCCACTTATGACCATTGCAATATCTCTGAGGTTCCATGATCATGATTGCTATCATGCATTTATGGTAATAGCAGCATCCCATGGTCATGTGATTGCCATTTGCCACTTTCTCCGTTGGCTTCTGACAAAGACAACGGAGAAGCTGTAGGAGGCCTCAAGTCAGTCATGTGACATTTTGCTCAACACCCATAATAATTTGCTTAACAATCAAAACCAGAACTGCTGTTATAAGTCACATTGTCATGTGATGTTTTGCTTAAAGACCACTTCATTCAGTGGTCGCAATTAATGTTGTTAAGCAGGGACTATCTGTATTTATTAATATGTGTATTTGTATTAGTCAAATACATTGGCAATTAGCAAATGCTTAGTTCAAACATGCTTGGGATAAACATGTTTATCATCTAACAAAATAATAACAACAATAATAATAATAAATATAACAAAAGCAAACAAAAACTTAAAGGGCAGACTTGATGGACCACTAGGTCTTTTTCTGCCATCATTTTTCAATGTTGTTTTTCCTTTTTGCATTATTTCCTCATGTCTTGTCATATATTCAGATTTCTTCTTTCTACATTCATTCATTCAACCTCTATATAGTCTCTATGGAAAAGCACACACATGTTGTTTGAATACATGTACATACCTTTCCAAATTTGCTATCCAAAACAAACAGGAATCCTAATTCTTCAAAGTAGATTTCTTAGTCTTGGCCTCGGGCTGGAGATTGAACAACTGATTCCATGTGAAGGAGTGAAATTTCAAACATGACTTTGAAAAGCCATATGACAGCAGGAGATCTACTGTTCAAAGAAAATGCAAGCTTTCCAATTTCAAACTCTTTGGATTTTCTCTAGTTCATTGCCTTCAGGCCACAACCTATTTTCGGTGTTACTATATATTAGTGTTCTGGCTAGATGTTTCTTCTACAAAATGATTTGCATCATGTATTGTAACATTTACACATGTTCTTCATAAAGGGTAGCATTTAGCAGGCAAAAATGGAGAGAACCATGTATCGTTATTTCTGCCAAGAACAAAAATGCCTGGCGACATTAATAAAAGGAACACTAAGTCTTGTTAAGGAGGTTTAGTTATTTTGCACTGAAGTGGAATAATAAATCACATAGATGAAGAATGAATAAAAATATCTGAGAAAGCACAGCCAATTTGTCTAGCGTTTCATTTTTTCTGTGAAATAGATATACACAAAATTCAGGAACATCTTATTTTAAAGAGGAACTGGCAAATCCTTTTCAAATGATGGATAATGTCATTGAAACTTGCTCAAGGAATGGTATTGTATTTAAGTAAAAAGTAAATTTTTATATCTTTACTAATTATATGTGCTCTTTTCCCACAACATTTAAAGCATAGGCAGAAAACACCTGATTCAGAGCTTCATTTTACAAACATACATACATACAACCTTTGAAAATGAGGGGGCAGGAGAATGCTATTGTAAGAGGATAAGATGTGGTAAGATGTTAAGCTTGGGAGAAGCAGGTTGGGGTTGGTGGTTAACACAACACTGATGTTTTAAATTTAGTGGACACCTTTTGAATTTAAAAAAATGCATTGCATTTTTGCCACTTGTCATTAAGTGTCATTGGTGTGATTGTTGTGAGCCTAATCTATTACACGTTGTTCTCTCCTTAAATTAAGAATAAATGTCCCACTAACATTCTGTCAAAGAGAAACAATCAGTTCAGACAGTCTGAGTTTATTCTGTCAGGCGAAGTCCAAAGGAAGAATTGATGAATCTTCAATGGTGATGAAAGTAAGTCATAGCAAGCAATGGAATTAATGGAATCAAGCAGATTCTAGATAACGTTAATTAGTTAAGGTCTTGGTTTTAACAATATAAGAAAATTCTCAGCCCCTTAAAACATTAGCTTTTGGGCTAGGATGAAGAAAATTCAGGCTCAGATACTGAAGCTCACAGTATAGATTTGGGCCTATCAATCATTCTTTCACATGCCAAATCATCCCAGACTCCTGACAGGGGAAAAAAAAATTAGAGGAAATAGGTGGTATGCAATCTTGAACTTCCAGAAGATGAGATGTAAATAGAAATAAATTTGGCACATAGGAATGTTAAAAGAAAAATAATTTGTATATGTATTGATAAAATTAAAATACATATGTGTTATTATTGGGAATAAATACAACTCTTATTTTTGAAAGCAATTGAATTCGGAAGTTGAGTTGACTCAACTTCCAGGCAACTCTAGTTGGATGACTGAGAATCTTTATTGACAATTATTGAGGCTAGAGACTTGGAACACATCTGGAGGGCACTAAGTTAGGAAGATTGATTTGAGGAAATAAACTTAGAGAATGTTCTATATTGGAAGAATTTAAAATTGTATGAGTTGAACATTGCATGAAAGAAACAGGGACATAATCCACAAATATTCAAAAATTATTTCCTATTACAAATTAGATTTTAACTACTTTTTTAGTTGAAGGGAATTTAATGATGAAAGGTGGTAAGACATCCAACAACTGAAAGGCTGGCTGAGGACAATAAAGTTTTACAGTCTGTATTATAAATAAAAAAAGGGACTGTGAGAAAATTAATTTTCAAAGAATTTAGGATCTATGAGAAAACACCCCACCAAGCAATTTTTAATATAAACAGCACCTTTAAAAAAAGATTAAATCTTGGAATATGATGTTGGCCACACATACTGAAACACTTAGGAGAACGTGACCCAAGATAATTTTGAAACAGTTGTTATTTTGGCATTCCTTGAAGAAAGATATTGTTTCATACTTTTTTTATTTTTTGTTTGTCTGAAAGTTGAGGAACAATGTACAAATAACATACCAGACTTCTTGTCTAATCTCAGCAACATGGGTTTGAGATATTATTACATATTTGAACTTCTGATTCAGGAAAATGACTAAACTGTTGAGCCTTTGTCTAAACTACTCTCATCTTAAACAAAGTGTGCAATGATGCAATGCCACCAGAAGTGCCAATAGTTGGAAGCATCAGTGTAGACAAGTTTGAATAACCACTCAACTTGAATAACCACTCAACATGAATAACCACTCAAGGTTCTTATGCATAATAGCACATCCAGAGAGATCTAGAATCATATATTCTCCAACATTACATGGACATTACATGGCCTAATTGAAAACTACAGACCAATTTCTTTATACTGCGTCACCTGTAAAGTCATGGAATCAATTATTAACCAATCTATCATCTTCCACTTGGAAACAAACAACCTACTCTCTAATAAACAATTTGGTTTTAGAAAAAAAAACTATGCAACTCTTACACTGCAAAAACATATGGACTATACAACTCAATCAGGGCAAAGCAATAGATGCAATCTACATAGACTTGTGTAAAGCCTTTGATTCAGTGGTACACGACAAACTACTCCTAAAACTAAAATCTTACGGTATCTCTGGACATCTACATAACTGGATAGAAGCATTCCTGTCAAACAGACAAAAAATGGTCAAAATTGGGAGCGTCCTATCAAATTCTGTACCTGTCAACAGTGGTGTCCCCCAAGGCAGTGTTCTAGGACCAACTCTTTTCATACTCTACATAAATGACCTCTGTGATCATATTAAGAGCAACTGTGTTCTCTTCGCTGATGATGTAAAGCTATTCAACACCACCAACAATACTGCTACCCTTCAAAAAGACCTTGATTATGTATCAGAATGGTCAAACAAATGGCAACTTCAAATCTCAACAAATAAATGCTCTGTCCTACATATTGGCAAAAAAATATATCAGAAAATAAAGTACAAGCTGAACAGCCAAGACCTTGTTGGTGATCCAAACTCTGTCAAGAATCTTGGAGTACTCATCTCTAATGATCTAAGTGCTAGAGCCCACTGTAACTACATAGCCAAAAAGGCATTAAGAGTTGTTAACCTAATCTTACGTAACTTTTTCTCTGGTAATATTACACTAATAACTAGAGCATACAAAACATTTGCTAGACCAATACTCGAATACAGCTCATCTGATACTAACACAGTTGAGAAAGTCCAGAAATATTTCACAAGAAGAGTTCTCCACTCCTCTACTCGTTGTAGAATAACTTATGCCACCAGACTTGAAATTCTAGACCTAGAAAACCTAGAACTATGCCAACTTCGGTCCAATCTTAGTATATAAAATCATACATTGCAATGTCCTACCTGTCAATGAATACTTCAGCTTCAACCATAACAACACAAGAGCACACAATAGATACAAACTCAAGGTTAATCGCACCAAACTTGATTGCAGGAAATACGACTTCAGCAACAGAGTGGTCAATGTCTGGAATATTCTACCTGAGTCTGTGGTTTCTTCCCCAAACCTCAAAAACGTTAACCTTAGACTTTCTACTGTTGACTTCACCCCTTTCCTAAGAGATCTGTAGGGGGCGTACATAAGTGCACCAACGTGCCTACCGTCCCTGTCCTATTGTTTGTTTTATTTTTTATTTTTCTTATATGTATCCATGTATTCATAACTATGTTTTTACTTATACCTATTATCTTGAAAGCAATTGACAAAAATAAATAAATAAATAAAAATAAAATAAAAAAGGGACACACTTGTATCACAATGTTTAGTCACATCATACTTCATATCTAAACTCTCTTCATCATCTACTTTAATTTCTTTAGGCTATCTTTCTACATTTTTCTTAGGAAAGAGATGATGATAAAGTGTTTCCCTAAAAGAAGACCAAAAATAATAATTAATGTTCAATAGTCTATATTACATTAGAGCCAACAGTATTTTATTTCTTCTCTTTTTTTATATTGGCTACTGGAAAACAAGATGTACTAGATTTGGCTCAGGAAGACTAAGGATGAAAGTCAGCCTGTGGGGCTTACAACAGACTTCCCCATTTGGTTTTACCTTTTTAAACAAAAACAAAAGAAGATAAAACTGTGTCTGGACTGTAAGGTAACAAATCTTTTCTTTCTTCTGTATGCAGATTGAGAATTATATCCAAGATAATATGAAAAAAGAAATGGTTGAGATTCAGCAGAATGCGGTTCAGAATCAGACAGCAGTGATGATTGAATTAGGCACAAACCTATTAAATCAAACAGCAGAACAGACCCGCAAATTAACAGATGTCGAAGCACATGTAAGTAACAAGCACTATGTTTTGCCGGCTACAGTAATATTTTTGCCCTGAAAAAGCATTTAATCTGCAGTTTCATGAGATACATTTGGCTAATAAAAAGGAAAATACTCAACCTTGGAAAAATAAAACTAATGTATTTGAGAAGACTGTAATTAAATAATCTTTCAAAATGCATCTGTGAGGAAAATGACCACCTCTCTAGTTCTGTATACATTCCAGCATTGGAAATATTAGACTGAGCATTTGCTCAGTGATGCATGGATAAACCATTTTTTTCTTTCCATCTAATTCCATATACATATAGAATGTATGTACGGTAATACTATACTAATACTATATTACTAAACTTCTTTCTAAAATCACTCATTCCCTTGTTATGAGAGAACAGCATCAGCTGGGTGCATATGAGCATATGCTCTTGCCTTGATCTATTTGCAATTTAGTTGGACAAAGAAACAAATCTTATGTGAGAAAGACTTGGGCAGTGCATGGGCCACAGAAAATTAGGGATTGTCTTTGATAGCTGCAGCATTAGCAGTGGCTGGATTATGAGCAAAGAAAAATGGAAGTGAGCAAGAAGGACTGGATTTAATGTCTAATAAAAGTATTGTACATTATTGGAAAAGATGACTGTATTCCAGTCTTTACAACAGTGGTTTTTAATATTTTAGCTCTGGAAAATTAGTCTCTCTGTTTATAGAGAACTTTTGATTCTCATTTTTCTTAACATAGAAAGGAATAGAAACAGAAACCAAAGAGACATTGACTGGAACCCAGATCCAAATCCAGATTTTTAAGAAATCTGCTTCAGCCCATCAAACAATGCAGAAGCAGATCTTAGAAGGGCACAAATTATGTGCCTTTATGTAAGACATAATATGTGAGGAAATTGGATAAGCATTAGTATTTCAACAGTTATGACTTAGCTGAAGGATAAATGAAAAGAGTAAACTGAGTGGGAGAAAGGTTAGGGGACAACAGGAAGTGCCAAGGAAAAATAAATGGTCACATTTTTTCAAGTTGATGTCCAAGTCCCAAATCAATTGTGGTTCCTTAAAATTCCCATACTCAAAACTTGTTTTCTCTCTCTTTGTATCCCTTCATTAGAGATCTTGTCAAATTTCATCCAGAATTGTGGTTATTATGGAATAACCACAAATGATTGCATTTACAGAACAAACAATATAGAATTCTTGAAATAATAAATTCATTTGAAACTTCTTACATACCTCACAATAAATGAAAAGTATTTGCATCCAGCTACAACTGTTTCTGAAGCATTTATGTTGAACAGTGAACCAAACTGTTTTGCTGACTGTTGTAAAAAAGCAAAACTTTTGAACGCTTTGGACATTTTTGCGTAATTTACAAAGCATAAAATACAAAGAATTCTAAACATGATGCAAAAGGAAATGACAAAAAAATTAAATCACAAATAGGATTTTCAAATGTTTATAGGTCCTTTTACAGACCAAATTCTCCATAGAAACAGAAGATTCTCATTAACTAAAACCAATTTTGAACAGGATTTAATAAACATAGTAAATTGGTTAACTAACCAGGAGTCTTCAATCCTGTTTGTTAAAAAAATAAAACCCCCAAAATCTTAGTTCAAAACGCAAAGCTCTAGTGATAGAAAATTGGCTGCATTGGAGTGATTTTATAAATTACTTCAATATCCTTCTGACATGACTAACTTTAAAGATAGTTCAGAAACTTCAATAAAGACCAATTCTTAAAGTGTTTCATTAGTTGTCTGTTTTCTATTCTTTCATAATAGATTTAATTTAATCTATTGATTCTAGATAAAAGGGTCTGGTCTACAAATACTTGAAAAATTGTTTGTTTCCATTATCTTGGCTCTGGTATAAGATCCTAAAAAAAAAGAGAGAGACTTCATATCAATCTCTCAGTGGGTTTTTGCAAAGAAGATGCTCTTTCTCTCATTGGAGAGAGTTTTACACCTTTATGAAATGCCCTCACCAGAGATGATTGCTGCATACTATACTACCTTATCAATTAAGTGCATTACATGATTTAGTATATCGTAAAGTTTTACGTTAAAAGCTTAGCCTATTTTTTGCTTACATTTGCCTTATGCCATAGAACACCCAAAATCTGATACCAGAAGAGGCAACCCTAAAAATCTTTAAAATAAATAAATAAGGAAATAAGTAAATCTTTGCCAACAATTTGGAAATACACTTAAGTGTGAAATCATGTCCTGAATGATTGTTCAACATGAAGGAAGTGAGTAATAAATTCATCCTGCCGACTGAAGCCAAATCTTGATGAATTAAAACTTTAAAAAAATACAGTGAGAAACACAATAAGGACCTGCAGAACATGTAGCAGAATAGAACGGAAAACAAAGCTCCACATGACAGTTCTGTTTCCTCATTCTTAAAAACAGATGTCATTCTTGAGACTTAAAAAAGGGATAAGAAGCAGTCATTAAAGTAGCGTATTAAAACCGAAACCATGGTGTCATGTTGGCAAAAAGGAACATCGATCCTCACTACACACACCCATAAAAAGTTCTATGTGATTACATAGAAAAAAGACATTTCTCAATATTGTTTTTAAATAATAAAGAGGAATGACTTGAACAATGAAATACTTGATGAAGTAGACAGGCTGAATTTCAGTTGCTGATTCCCAACATTCCCATTTTTATCTCATTTAAAACATTTATTTCATTTAAAGCATTTAAAATAAGAATTACTCTGCAGAGGAAAGAGGTTTGATATCATCATCAGGATAGCACTGACCTTTTATTGACAGAATATTGCAAGCACAGCTGAGTTCAGCTACATTTGGGCAAGTGCTTTATCTCATTCTATAATTTGGAACTCATCTTAATCAATCATAGAAACAAGTGAAAATAAATTACAAAAGCATTCTATTCTACTCTAGTCTACTATTTCACAATCAACTCAGAAATGGTATTGTTTCGGCAACACAGTCATATGGTCGGTTGTTGCTTTTACAGTATATCCCACTGCTTTTCACTTTTCAACAATGAAAGATATGATATGGAAGAGTTTCCATTCATTTTGTCACCAGTGAGGTTGATTGAATAGAAAGATTAAATCCCCAAATCACTCAGTGTGCTGTTTAATTGAATGGGGATTTGACCTCCTCTTGCTATGAAAAGACAACTTGATGCCTTCTAGATATTTGAGACTGCCACTGCCAAAATCACTGATCATGGGTGATGCTAACTGGCACTTGTGGACATGCAGAAATAGTGAAAAATATTTAAAACACACCACGTTGCTTGGCTGTCAAGGCCCAGTGTAAGCATACTTATGTACAGACTAAGTGACCTTAATTAATTCATATCAGAATTATGTTGTCACTTCTACAGATGCTTTTGGTTGTGTATGAGACCCTTCCTAAAACAAAAGTTATTACAAGTGGAACATAGGTTGACTGCATAAAGTTCATGTAGCTTTATGACTGTACAGCAACATACATTTCAGAAAGTGTTTATTTTCTGCTCATTTAGGTACATTGGGGATTGTAAGGTAATTATTTTTACAACAATGATAGTCATTTATTTCAAATGATCAGATATGCTTCATTTTTCCCTCCTCCAAATGTAGGTGTTAAATCAGACAACACGACTGGAGCTTCAACTGCTGGCCCATTCTATCTCAACTAACAAACTAGAAATGCAGATTTCAGATCAGACCAACGAGATAGGTAAACTGCAAGAAAAAAACAGGTAACAGTTTTTTTAATTGACTCATGAATATAGAAATTGATTGTCAGTTTTCCTTTAGGAAGTGTATAGTTATAGTATCCTCTAATATACTTCCAAAAAGAAATTGAAATTAAAAACAAAAATGACTTTAGGTCAATGCATAAAAATTAGGCAAAAACTAAAATTGATAACAAATAACAGATAATCAAGAGTTGGAAGGGACCTTATAGGTCATCTAGTCCACCTCCCACGCCCAAGTGGGAGACCTTTCACTATTGCTGAAAAATGGCAGTCCAATCTCTTCTTGAAAGTCTCAAGTGATGGCGCTCCCACAACTTCCGAGAGCAAGCTGTTCCATTGGTTGATTGTTCTCACTGTCAGAAAGTTTCTCCTTATTTCCCGGTTAAATCTCCCCTTGTTCAGTTTCCATCCATTATTCCTTGTCTGGCCTACAGGCGCTTTAGAAAATAGCTTGTCCCCTTCCTCTCTGTGGCAGCCTCTCAAATATTGGAAGACTGCTATCATGTCTCCCCTGTTCCTTCTCTTCTCTAGATTAGCCATGTCCAGTTCCTGTAACCGTTTTTCATATGTTTTAGTCTCCAGTCCCCTAAACATCCTGGTTGCTCTTCTCTGTACTTTTTCTAGAGTCTCAACATCTTTTTTATAATGTGGTGAACAAAACTAGATGCAGTACTCTAGGTTTGGTCTTACTAAGGCTTTATAGAGTAGTATCAGTACTTCACTTGATCTCGATTGTATCCCTCTGTTAATGCAATTTAGGATTACATTAGCTTTTTTGGTGGCTGCTACACACTGCTGGCTCATATTTGATGATTAAAAAAAAATTATTTGTATTCACTGAATTTGCATCAATGCCAAAACTTGAGGGACTTTTTCTTTATTACCAAGCAAACTATTCTATGGAAAACAATTCACATGTCCCTAGGATTTTTCATGGTTGCTTAAACAGTGTAAGGATAAATGGAGTTCAATTTATTTTACAACATATTTTCAGTTATAAGTAATCCTTGACTTACATCCGTTCATTTAGAGCCCAGAGTACCAATGGCACTGAAAAAAGTGACTTATTGTTTTTCACACTTATGACTCTTGCAGCATCGCCATTGTCACATGACCTATATTTGGGCACTGTGCTGGGATCATGTGATCACCATTTATAATCTTTCTAGCAGGCTTGTGACAAGCAAAGTCAATGGGGGAAGTCAAATTCATTTAATGATTGCACAATTCAGTTAACAACTGCAGTGGTTTGCTTAACAACTGTAGCAAAAAAAAAAGTAAAATGGGGCAAAAGTCATTTAACATGTGCTTTGTTTAGCAACTGAAATTTTGGGCTCAGTTGTGGTCGTAAGTCAAAGACTGTACTAGGGGACATTTTTTCCGCCCAGTTCTGTGAAATTAGTAGAGTGATTTCATTGTTAACTTAGAAAACAATAATAGTAAAACCTCCTTGAGTGAGATACTACTTTGACCTAGCTGTGGGCCTATCTGCTCTGAGGAACAGAAGAACATTAATCCCTATTGGATATATCTTTTCAAAGAAGCAGAATGAAGAATGTCTCTCCCATAAACAAGATGGTAAAATGTAATTTACATAAACCTATAACAGATTGGCCATTGCCCAGGTTAACAAGAACCCTCCTAAGTGTTGGAATTCCTGGACATCTGGTGAAAAATGGGCTACAGGACTGAAGACTGTTGGCTGAGCAACCAGGGCCAGCTGCTGCAGGGCTAGGGAAGAAAAGGTGCTTACCTATTGCAAATATACAAAGATTGAAAACAAAAAAAAACCCCCTCCAATCTGTTGTTACAAATCAACAAGAAAAGGATATCTGGAAAAAAATGCACCAGTTCTGGAAAGAACAACATCCAGAGTCAGAAATAACAGGACAGAGGCTAGCAGATCGACGTCAATTTATAAAACAAAATAAAGTATTCACAAAAGCAGAATTGGAAGAACTGCAAAGGTCTACCCAGGGCAAATAAAATGAAGCCTTGCCAAAAGTAGCTCAGACTGCACAGACAAACCAGGGGAAGTCAGCAGTAAAGGTAGCCAGCATATTGTAGCTATTGAATAGTTTTTACAGTAGAACGTCTGGTCATGAACGCTTCTGACCACAACCAAATAATTCACAAAAAATTTGAATCTGGTCACGAACACATACTTGGGTGGCGATCAAACATGACCCCTGAGCCAGCAATTCCTGAAGATGAAACATTAGAAGATGAAGAAATTGCCAAAGCTATAGAACGAGTTATTGTCATGACCAGAGATTCTACTGTATTTCCAAACTAGGTACCCTTACCACTGCCTTCTCAGAAAGAACTAAGCTCTCACACAGAAAAAACATTGAAACAAAGACTAACTAGCATCTAAAAGAGCACAAAAAACAACAGAATAAAGTTGCCTACATTGAAGCTTGTTCCAAAGAAACAGCTAGCACAAAACACCAATACTGTAATATCAAACATAAGCACCAGCTCACTGCAAGCAACAAACCAACTAATATACAGCATGGTTGCAGTTATAACTGAATATCTAGGATGCAAACCAACAAAGAAAAAAAGGCAAAGAGTGCATCACTAAAATGGAAGGTCAGACTGGAAAATAAAATCAGCATGTGATGATCCGTTGCAAGCAAACTAGAACAGATGAAGGAAAAGAAGCTAAAGAATATCTGATCAAGAAATATCACCCAGAAACAAAAAAGATTAAGGAAACCCTAGATGTAATAAAGCAGCAAATAACAAGTAGCAAATGTCAGCAGATAGGAAGTTTGAGTTGTATACTATAAGCAGAATCTCCTATTTTAACTGAATCAGAAATTGAAGTTATCATGATACTCTGTAGAAATAACATCAAGAGTCTGGATGAAGAAGATCACTACAAATACCTGGACATCCTTCAGACTAACAACATCAAGCACAATGAAGTCAATAAGATTTGTACTGAATATATCAAGAAAGTGAAGATGATCTTAAAAGATCACAGTGAGTGGTGAAAATACCATAAAGGCAATAAACAACAGGCAATTGCAGGCATTAGAATGGTGGAATGAACTCAAGCTGAAGTAGAAGTCCTGAATAGAAAGTTCAGAAAAATAATGACAATGAATCATGCCCTTCATCCATATAGTCAATTTATCAAGGAGCATAGATGATTGTGGAATTTTACAAGTACACTGGACAGTTAAAAAAGAAAAAAGAGCATTGGAAGAAAATCTGAAGGACAGTGAAGAAGATGCAACAAGTTAGTACACCATATGGCTTATTGAATACAGCATCACACCATCAAAGAACAACACCTGCTTTTATCCTAGATCCTTGGGAAGGACTTGATAGGTGGACAAAAAGACCAAATCCAGTCTAAATACATGGTTGACTATGTGTCCAACCACCACCACCACCACCGCAACAATAATATTTTGGAGGTGCGAGATTTATTATATACTTTGTGAATAGTGAGTAGTGAAAGCCATAATTGCAAAGGAGTTGCTTCCCGAGACCAAATAGCTCCATCTCTTTTTCATGTATTCCTTTACAGTTGTCTTTCCTGGTTTTAGATCCCCTGATATTAAACAACAATACCAGATTATCAACCACAAGACCTGAGGGCAGCAATAATGAGAGTTTAGTCTAAAAGTAACTAAGAATTCAAGGTTGAATGTTTTCTACTAAAGACTTTTAGAGACCCATCTGGTGTAGTGGTGAAGGCATCAAGCTAGAAATCTGGTGGCCATGTGGTCCTGCCTTTGGCCCAAAGCTAGCTGGGTGACCATAAGCCAGATATTCTTTGAGCTCTAGGAAGCAGGCAATCTGGCAAAAGCAAATAGAACACTCATGGAGAGTCTCAACAAGAGTTTTATGTCTATAGTGGACATGGTCCAGTATGTTACAAGAATCTCGCTAGACTGACTGTATTCCATTGCAAACAGCAAGATAAGGCTTCAGGGATTCTGAGTGAGGTCAGGCCACTTCCTGCAGTGCAATGACTCCAAACTTGGGCCCCTCTTAACACCTCCCTACAGCCTAGCAGGAGATTTTACCACACTTGCCAAGATAACTACAGGGAATATTCCAGGCAGTCACTGGGGGGTAGTACTGACTTTAACGCCCTAAAAACAAACAGCTACATTATGAACTCTTATCCAAATTTGATGGAGTTTAACCAACTAGGGATTTGCAATCCTTCCTCCCATTTATCTTTCGTCCAGATATAGCAAGTCATCCATCTTAATATGTAAACTCCCAGATTCATAACAATTTTAAATCACTCGTTATAAAAATGAAACCAATTTTGGGGAATGCTTCTTTTTAAATCCAGTACAAATGACACATATCGATTTTTGCCTGTATCAATATTTGGTGTACAATGTCAAAGAATATCGAATCTGTTGTTATTTAGTCAAAATATTTGAATGGCAGCTAGTCAACACAACTATTAACATTTCTTGCTGAGCTGGGATCACATTAGACCAGCTGGAGAAGTTCAGGGAATTGTGACCTTCACTTATTCCATGAACCTTGTGTGTGACCTGCTGTTGGCTGGTGATGCAGTTGGCTAGATCCATGTGTTGAGGAGCCAACCTTACTGTTTGTTAAATTGGACAGCAAGTACATTCATTCAGCTGCATAGTTCTTGCCTTTATAGTGAGTTGTTGACATCTTGGTGGAAAGATAGTGGAGATTAACAAGCTGCTTTCCAAAATTAAAAACAATAGAGGCTTATACTGTACTTAAGAATAGCATAAGGTAGGCTTGAATTTACAATGAGCCCAACTATTATTCGGTAGAAATTCAGATGTGTAAAGAACTTCTCACTTCTGGTAAACATTAATGTTGAGGGGAAAGGGCATATTTTCACATTTGTCTTCACTTTCTTGCTATGTTTGTGTATGCTCCTGCTAAGCATGTTTTATGCAAACAAGATTTGCTCCTGGAGGAGCTAATTCATTATTCATATGTCATTTATTGGGATAAGGGAAGGAATAGATTTGGATCACAACAAATGTCATTCACTACTTGTTAACAAGTCACAAATATTTGTAGACCAAGAATATTTTGGAACAGATACTATAAAATCGGTTTCCACATATACTGGGGCAAGAACAAAATAATTTCTATATAGTTAACTCAGAACTTGAATCCTTTCAAAGGTGGCACTAACTTGTGCATTTTTCACTGGGGCTAGAAGGCTTGAAGACCATAACACTTGGATATTATGACAGCAATTGTGTAGGTAGTGTTCTAAATAGATAGGGATAACCATTTGGCACCTGTACACAGAACCTTTTGGGTAGGCATATTTTTGGCAACCAAGGCTATAGTAGGCAGGGCAGCAAAGGCATATATCATATAACTGGGCAAGGCTTGGATTTTAGTATGATGTAGCAGTTGGATGGTGGTGGAAGGTTTTAAATTCTGTTGGATTGTGTTCAATCTAGCACCTTAAAAAATCGAACTGGATCATGCTGATTCAACGTGTTTTGTAAATTGCAAAAAGAGAGAAGGGCGGCGGGGGGAGAGAGATAGAGATCAGTATGGCATGTGGCCTCCTGTGAATATTTTAGAGGTGCCCATAATGCTAAAACAGAGGTCAGAGGTCACTGAAAAGATTCTTAATAGGTATCAATATTGACCCAAGTTCAGTTGTAGTTATCTGGAAGTGGCATATACAGAAGTATGGACATATTCACAGTTCTAAAGTTGCCCAACCAAAAGAGATCATTTTGACTACTGATTGCAGTCTATATTCAATAGTCTTGTACATTTAGTACTCTAAAACAGTGGTTCTCAACCTTTTCTTCACCACAGATATCCTTTAAATACCTTTTGTGGGCATGCACCATGGCCATGGACCCCCAAGACTTAACAAGATTTAAATCATAAAATTTCTTCAAACCTTCATGGACCCCCTATGAAAACACTGTGCCCCCCCCCCCTCCCAGGGGTCCACAGACCACAGGTTGAGAATCACTGCTCTAAAGCTTTCTCATTTAAGCAAGCTTATGTGTCTTGGAGGAATACAAAACTTGGAACTGAATGCAAAATTCAGTGTCCTAAAAACTTTACTATTCATTTTCTAAAGTAGCCAATGAAGCCGTCTTTAGAGACAGGAATTTAGCATCAATATATATTCCAACTCTTTTTTCACATCTATCAAGATCAGCATAAATTATGCAAACCAAGGTCTGTTGTAGATTTACTGCATATTAAATAAAATAATGCATATTGCCTTTATTTTACACAGGTTATAAAGTTTGGACATAGCATTTTATTTTTCTCCTGAATAAAACACACAAAGCACTTGGGATCACACTGTTGTTGTATCCTTCTTTATCTGGTGAGAACAGGAAAGAATAGAAAATCAAAGAAATGATGAATTCAAATAATCTTAGTAACTAGGATCTGAGATTATTTTGCTCCTGCTAATAAAGAGATGTTATATATGGGGCGGAGCAGCACGTCGTTTTTTAAAGTTTTGATCAGACTGCATATTAGACCACCATGGGCACTTTCACTAGCTCAGATTCATTCATTTATTTAATTTAATTTGCATAAAATATTGTAATAATCAAAGCTGATTTTTCTTTTTGCTAGCCTTTTGGAAAAAAAGGTCCTTGAAATGGAAAGCAAGCACATATCCCAACTACAATCAATGAAAGAAGAGAAGGATAAGCTTCAGTCATTTGTTTCTAGACAGAACTCCGTAATAGAAGAATTAGAGAAACAGTTAGTCAACGCTAGTGCTAATAACTCATTCCTGCAAAAGCAGCAACATGACCTGAGAGAAACAGTGCAAAACTTGTTTGCTATGATTACTGTGCCACAACGTAAGTAAAAAATAATAATAAGACAATCATTTTTATCCTGATGATATAGAATACACAGACTCCATTCTTGGAATGCTAGACAATTGAAGACATTTCATTACCCAAACTAGGTAACATCATCAGTGAACTGAAGATGTTACCTAGTTTGGGGTAATGAAACATCAGAATTGAAACATCATGAAACCCCTCATTTCAATTCTGAGCTACAAATATCTTCCTTAATTGCTTTTGGTTAGCATTTTTTGTTCCCTGCAATTTCCCTTAGCTTCAAAATCCTCCCTTCCCACAGTCACCCTAATTTCTTTCTTAATATAAAGCCTAATTATATCATGTTTGTATTGATTTGGGAAAGTTTTATTCCCTACCTATTCCCTAGCCGCATATTGGGAATAAAGAAAGGATTAAGAGTGGCCAAACCACCCTGAGTTTGGCACCAATGTTAAATCTTGGGAGTCCGCTTCTATGTGTGGGTGTTAAACCTCATACCATATTAATATGGAAAATAGTAAACCAGTGGATCATTCAGAGGGACAGAACAAGCTCTAACACTGTGAGAATGTAACCACGGAGGGCTGAATTCTGCCAAATATAATTCTCTCTGTTCTCCAGTATCAGAATTAAAACAATTGTTTGAAGAGTCAAAGCTAATTCTTTCTAACTTTGTGTGAGTGTTTTGCTTTTTCAGCACTCCTTCGAAATAAAATATTTCCTCATCCAAAAGATATGCTATTTTTTTTTTGCCAACATTACTAGATATTTAAGTCGAATAGATACTGTAACGTCTGATCCATTACAGAAATCTTAAATGAAAACCAAAGTAGTCAGCTGAAACTAAGTAAGTTCGTCAGTGGCAGGGCATCCTCAAAATATAATAAAAATATAGTAAAAAACAGACAGAAAAGTGTGATCAAAGTTTGTCTGATTTTGACATGCATAACAAGGAGGCATAGCTTTGGTGCATTGCCATGGCTACCACATCTTGACTTTTTAAATTCCATCCTGTGGACACTTTTGCTCAGTGGGCAAGGAATGGTGGGCAAATGATTTGGGGCAGGAGAGCAGGGATACAATGGCGCACAATATAACAAAATATTCTGAAGGAAGGTAGATCTGATTAAATTACAATCTGAACAAGAACTTTCCACCGGTTACCACATTGTTGAGGATCTGGCTGGTCTTTATAAGCATTCCACAATCAATTCATAAGATATTTGTTTTGTTTAAGGAAGTTGATTCTGTCCAATTAGTCTTACAGTTTAAAAATAGTTTCTTTGAGAACTTCTAAAACTGCTAATGTTTTTGCTGATGTTATCTCTTAAGTAGCGCACAAACAAGTAAACAAACCATACTGACTTTAGCATGATGTGGAAAAAATATCCTGAACTTTTGCCAGTGTCAAGAGGGCTAAGTTCTAATTATCAAAGAAGTGTGGAAAAACAATTAAATGAATGGAAACAAACTTGTATTGTAAGGAAACTAGATTTATAGACCTTACTTAAACAGTAAACAGATTGAAAAGGCTGGAAAAATGGTAGAGACAGAGCAGGTGGAGAAAACAATATATAGATCTGATTTGCATTGCAACTGAATTTAAGAGATTTTTATAACAGCTTTCTTAATATGTTTTTGTATTTTGCTTTTTAGCCTCCAAGAATGCTTTGGTCCCTGGAAAAGAACAGATCAGTTTCAAAGACTGCTCAGAAGCATTCAAAATGGGGTTTACATCAAGTGGTATTTACACATTACTTATATCTAACACAGGAGAAGAAAAAAAGGTATTACGCTCTCTTGGTTACATTAATCAGAATGGAAAACTCTTTCATATCAGAAATATTTTTGTACAAGTTATAAGTTGTATAAGTTAAAAAGCTTACTTGCTCAGTTTTCAAGGTTAGAAAAAGGAGAATCTTACTTTCAGGTTAACAAAAGATATTGAAAATGTTATCTTAAGTCCAGTTCTGATTAGAGATGTATTTAGCATATAGTAGAATACACCAACCATATGCATTTCAAAGTATGACTGGGTTTTTATATTAGCACTATGCTCCTATAGATTTTTTTTATAAAACTGTTTCAAAGTGAGGTCAACGTTAGGCCAACAATTAGGCAGGATGATTGATGGGACAATTTTATTCCCAGACCTGCTACATGGAGTAGAATGATTAGTGTTTAGTGCAGCAGTTTAATGGATTATCCCAGCCTTAGGAGTGTAATCCATCAAACACTATTACCGCTTAGCCTTCATTAATTTTGATGCAACTTGCTTGGAGTCCCACATACTACTCCTGGAAAACTTAAGTTCTGCAGAAACAGTCCTAGTGGATTTCATTTTGCCCATGGTAACACCAGAATTACTGTCATTAACTTTTTAGGGAAAATATTGATGGCCTTTTTGCAAGAGCACGATTTACGGTGCTACCGATGTTGCTTTACATTTTATTTTGGGCGGAGAAACAAAATTGCCTTTTATTTGCCAGACTTCAGCTGTTTATGTTTTGATCTTTTCCTGTCAAAGCTCACTTTGGCCTCTCGAGGGACTTATAAACATCGCAGCACAATGTACGTTGCTAATCTTGTTTTCTTCCCCCTGAAAGCTTTCATTAGGAAGCGCAATGCAAAGCTGACATGCATGCTTTCTTGTTGAAGATATACTACTGTGATACTGTTAACATCATCTTGCTTTCCCTACTTTTTGCATTACAAACTAATGGCTAAATCCCCTGTCTTTTTGTATGAAACTCAGGAAGACGTATAAATGGTGTAACTTGAGTTTGTTCTTGAAATGGTTGGCCCGCCTTCTTTTCATAAATACCTCAAGATACAGAAGCTGTTAGCTCTGTGGGATGGAGGGATTACTGTTGAGAGGTGCAACTCAAAATCTAATTGGACACCCCCTGCCAGTTCTGATATAATGGACCACATTTACAGCGCATTCAGAAAGTATTTAGACCCCCTTTACTTTTATCAATTTATTATGTTGCAGCCTGATTCTATAGGTGTTGAAACTCATTTTTTTCTGTCAGTCTACACTCAGTACCCCATAATGACAAAATGAAAACAGAAGGTTAGCAATGCCTGTAAATTTATTAAAAAGAAAAAAAAGAAATATCACATTGGCATAAATATTCAGACCCCTTCACTCAGTACTTTGTTGAAACACCTTTGGCAGCCGTACACTCTCGAGTCTTTTTGGGTATGTTGTGACAAGCTTTGCACACCTGCAACGCTTGGTATGTGAATCTTGTATAAAAAGAGGAGATCCTCTTGCACTTTTCAACTGTTAATCGGCCCTTTTAATAATCAAACAATTCAACCCTAACCAAAGAGCCTTATTAAATGTAATTCCTTAAATAAGTGTTAGAACTAGTCACGTATTTATTTATTTATTTCACAAATTTTTATTAGTTTATCAAAATATAAAATACAAAAATACAAAGAAAAATGAAAATAGGAAAACAAAGGACGAAAAGGGGAAGAGGAAAAAGTAGAGGGAAGAGGGGGAAAGAAAAAGAAAAGCATTGACTTCCGACTCTTTGGCACAGAGAGAGAATAAGTAATAACATACAACCTCAAAGTTTTTTCTACTTTTACCTAATATATACTAGCCATTTCTCTAACAACAAATATATCACATCAACAAAACCCCAAATCAAATTTTTAATTTTTCCTCCACCTCAAACACAACATCCAGAAGCGAGAAATGGATTTCTTAATATAGCATGCTTTATATGCCGTTATTTTTCTAATGGAAACCTTAATTCTACAGATTTTGCCTGGTAGATATTTCTCCCAAAGGAACAACAACAAAAAGTTTCAAAAACAAAAACAGAAGTGTTTGGAAAATCAAAACTGGCAGCAAAATACAGGATCTGCTTGATGGAGAGCTAGACAGCATTCACAGTCACTTCAGGAACATGTTTTCATTATATGTGCTCATATAAACAGACATAATACCGCAAGCCCTGATGCAGTTTCCTAGTACTGTTCAAATTGAACAGAGAGAAAGCTGATTGCTTGTTTGCATGTAAGCACTGGTGGAGTACATTGCCATACTTCTACTGTGAGTTCTGTTTCCCCGCACAAGGCATAATACTCAAGTATAACATGATTATGAGAACAGTATTTTTATATCACATGGGAAGTAAAAAAAATATGAGCAAGCAAATTTTGCCTCCCATAAATAGTCATAATTTTGTTAACTCTTTAACTTGGACAAAAATCAATTAAATGAGTAACAATTTCTATATCTGTGTGTCTTGACAGACATATTGTGATATGGAGACAGCAGGAGGAGGCTGGACAATTATTCAGCGACGCTTAGATGGCAATGTAGATTTTGACCGAACATGGGCGGAATATAAAATGGTAAGCAGAACAATGTTATAAGCTTTTGATTAGACTCTGAATATAGATTTCCTTGGTTCTCTAAATGACATAGTCTCATTCTGATCAAGTTGTATTTTTTTTCTTCCCAGCATTAACATCCAATAACTTTTTACTGAAGAAGCCAAAAAATTAAGTGTATAGCCTTTTGCTTGTTAGGCCATGCAGATAAATGCTGTGTTGAAATATTTTGGGCTGGGCATCTCAAAATTCTAGCATTTACTCTGGGATGGGTTTTCTTGAATGCATTCAAAGGAAAGCTAGCAGCCATTTACAGTATCTGCATTTATTTGCAAATATGTGATATGTTTTAGAAATATGTAAATAAAAGACTACAGTGCCAATACACAACAGATATTGCTCAGATTTGTAGAAGATCCATTCATGCTAAAAGATTCATACACTAATATCTTTAGTATTTCTTCTTTCTCTTCCACTGCTGTCTCCACTGAACTGTTTTATTAAAAGAAACTTGAATAAAGGCCTAATTTTCCATCTTGCTTCTGCCTACTTGAATATAGCTGAATTGTATATACCCATACCCTGGGTTTTCTTTGTTACTGGACTTGAGTACTATCACCTGATTGTTACTAACTACTCATAATCTTTTGTCAAGACATATTGTCTCAAGCAATGCCATCTGATGACATAGCTTAAAACTTTGCAGTAACAAAATCGGAAGTATTCCAAGAATCATCTCAACCATCTCCTTCCTACTTACTATTATATGTCATTAAAACTTGAATACTATTTTCTGTCAATGGAGGAAAATACATGAGGCAATTCTGCTGTAAAATGAAATATAGATTTCATCTGTTGTATATAGATTGTCTATTAACACAGTAATGTTTAATTTACAATTGTGTTTTAAAAATATGTATGATCATTTTTATGGCCATTTTCTTGAGCTAAACGATGGTTCCACTTGGTTTTCCCATCTTTAAATCTGTGTTTAAACTTTATTTTCCCAAGTGGAGAAATTCAGAGGGTTTGACCCAATTCAGATGACTTTTTTTTTTAAAGGTGTGAAGTGCAAAATAAAACAAAACAAAACAATATATTTAAATATCTAATTTGGATTACAGGGATTTGGGAACCCTTCTGGAGAATACTGGCTAGGAAATGAATTGGTTTCTCAGCTAACCAACCAGAAGCAGTATGTTCTGAGGATACAGTTGAAAGACTGGGAAGGAAATGAGGCATATTCTTTATATGAGCATTTCTCCTTAGCAGGTGAAGAACTAAAATACAAGTAAGTCAACACAAACAGTTGCAGAGTTGTTCTTCTATTACATTACTTATAATTACATTAATGCCATTTGCATGCTAAACTTATGTTATACATAGAAGTGGGAATGAGTGTGATCTGTTTTGAGAAAAATGTGTAAACATACCTATCCCATATATCAGTCCGCTATTCAGAGCTTGGCATGATTATTTGTTTTAAGAAGAGTTGAAGAAGACAGTTTTCATTTTAACTGTCTTGGTCACTGCTACAGAATTTTTCAAACAATACCATCCAGTGATTACTATTTTGAAAAGTGCTTTAAGAAACTTACTTTTGTACTTGTATCAATAAGGGATTTAGAATATTATGATGTTAGTAAGTGTGCTATGAATCCCATTGCACAAAATAATTATATCCACAATTCTTGTATGTTTTATATTAAATTAACACACTCTCAGGAAGAGCCGACTGAAAACAGGAATATAGCTACCAGACATCCCTAGATGAACTTTATTACTAAAAAGCAAAATTAAAAATCATTTTTATTGCAACCTAACTATTTCCTTATCTGGAAATAGCTGAGTTGTATAACAGAGCTTATGTTAATGAAGACAACCTTCACAAAAGAGATTATCTCAATCCTTTATATTAACAATAATTTCTACACATGCACATGCAAATATACTTCCTTCTGAAATGTAACCAAATCTCCCTGCTCCTCATCCACCGCCTTAACCTCTTCACTCCACTTGATTAATATGTACAATCCTCCCCCTTCTCCCACATATAGTGAACCTCAGTGGTTCTAATTGGCCCACTAGCAAAGTGGATGGCAAATAATGTAATAAATAAAAAATAAATAACCAAAGAAATATATGTCACTGAGTCGATCTACTATTTTCTGCTGTTACTTTTGTATGAATTCCAAATGATGGATTGATACAATATATATATGAGAGGAACAAAGTAAAATCAATCATAAAAGTCTTTATCAGTAATTTCTTATGTATAGATTTTGAAGTGTTTTCCTGTACAGTACATACTACCTTTTAAATCCAGACTTCCATAAACAACTGATTAAGATTTACTGCCTCTAGTTATTATTGTTGCTATTTTAAAGCTAGTTCAACAACGCAGGAGAAAATATATTAATCTTTTTTTCACAACAACATATGATGTTGACAAAAAGTCCCTGGCATACTCTCCAAAAGGCAAATCGTAGATTGTTAACCAGAGAAGGGAACAGGATATTTCTTGGAAAATATTTCCTCTCTACAGAAAAGCCAGCGCAACCACTTTAGCCTGCAATAATTTGTTTCCCATTTTGCTTGTCTACAGAATCAACCTTAAAGGGCTTACTGGTACAGCCGGCAAAATAAGCAGCATCAGTCAACCAGGAAATGGGTTTAGCACAAAGGATGTAGACAACGACAAATGCATCTGCAAATGTTCACAAATGTTAACAGGAGGTAAGAGCGGCATTTTCTCTTCTCTTGTCTTCCTATTCTCACACTTTTCTATTTCTGTTGGCACTTTATCTATCCATAAAGTAAAAAGCAGATACATTTGGTTGTACCAGCTGTTGTAATAAAGTGGAAAGATCAGAATGACTTGGGTAAATAAACAAAGGCAAATCTACAAGCATGCTATATTAGCAAGTTGCAGGATCAGGCCTGGTTAGTAACTTAGATGGGGTACTATAAGCACTTCAGTCTAGGTTGGGAAGCTGAAAGACTTCCCAGATGCAGTGGCAAAAATCTTCTATACTATGAAAAGAAAACTACACAGATGTGGCTGTGAAGATACCAGGGGTTGAACTCCACCAGGAGACTTTATGTTTAGGTCAGCTCAAAACATTATAACTGTGAAAGTCATTTTTGAATATCCACCCTGGAGCAGCAGAGAGAATCTGAATGGAGGATAGAGGAGGACGCAAGCATAGCTCAATCAGTGCTGTTTTAACTCTTTTGTACCAATGCAAGGCTATAATCACAGCACGATACCATGAGAATGCCATCTTCTAAGATACTGAGAAATGGCTCAGGAAATTAGTGAGAATTTAATGAGATCCAGAAGATCTCAGAATTAGCACACTGGCTCGGGATCTCTTGAGTTAACTTCCACATGATTGTCTTTAATGAGATCCATGAAATCCCAGAAAGGTTTCATATCAACATCAGTTACTGAATGAAATGCAATGAAAAATTAAACTGATTTGCTTGGAAAAAGTGAGGACAACAATATAATCTGGGAAAAGTACGTAATTTTTATGGTGCTATCTACTCATATTTATTTCACAGTATTTCTATTAAAGAGTTAGAGCCAAACGTATTTAACTGATGGGTATCTAGTACTTCTAAGATGAGTACAAGCATATCTCTGTGTAATTGTTGCTGGAGAATTGCAGTTCATTTTGGAACAGGTTCTGCTGGAATTGAGGGAAGCCCTCTTATTATTAGTTTACAAGGATACTGAAGAGCTACCTATGCATTCAAAGTTTTTAGTTTGGGTGTTTTGTTTTTTCTTTTAAAAAATTACACACAATTTTTAATGTTTGTACATTTCATGCTGTGAGCTTACAGAATAATTTGTAAGTAGGTAGCATATAACTTGATCAAAACTAAAATAAAGAACAAATAGGCTGCTGTATTTTCCATAGCAGTTTGGGTGATTGCAATGGGAAATGGGTGCTAGGCTAAATCTAATCAAGAAGGTTGCATTTTATATATTTTTTCCAAGGAACTAAGCCAGGGGTTCACTATCGTAGCAACTTTAAGATGCATTAACTTCAATATCTACAATTTCCCTGCTGGCTGGCAAATTCTGGGAGTCAAAGTCCACACATCTTAAAGTTGCCAAGATTGGGAACTTCTGAACTAAGCTATATTTATAAAACTGGAGAGGGTGCTATTATGGATAGCAATAATAAACAGACTGTAATTCTAATATGACAGAGTATTTTTTTTTCTTTTGATAATTGTTAATGCAGTTTTTTTGTATGATGTTAGTACTATTACATGAAAATCAACTATGTTATAGTAATTAAGGTACTAGATTAGAACCTGGGGGGGGGGAGATCAATGAGTTCTAGTCCTGCCTTAGGCACAAAGCCAGCCGAGTGACCTTGGACTAGTCACTTTCTCTCAGATTTAGGACAATTGATTTGTCCTACTAACTTTCACAGAGCTGTCTTTTTTTTTTTTTTACATTTTATTATAATGTAAATGTCTTTGAAAAAATATCATATATATGAATATGTATCTTCATGAGAGAAAGAAACTAGTGATAATTTATCTTGTGGACTTTCATAGAACTCTCTGAGATTCAGACAAGATGGAATCACTGCAGATTTAATTTGGATCCATACAAGCCATAGACATTATTTTTAATAATAATTTTTATCAAAGTTTACAAAGAGAAAAAAACAATACAAAGAAAAATATAAAAATAAAAAATTATAAGTATATAGAAAAAACAAAAAGAAAAAAATCATATAAAAAATGATTTCCCCTTTTCATCAAGGCAAGTACAATCAATTTCTGTAAGTTATTACCTGTTCCAATAATTCCACAAAATACACTGATCAAAAAAATAAAGGGAACACAAAAATAAGACATCCTAGATCTGAATGAATGAAATATTCTTATTAAATACTTTGTTCATTACATAGTTGAACATGCTGACAACAAAATCACACAAAAATTATCAATGGAAATCAAATTTAGCAACCCATGGAAGTCTGGATTTGGAGTTACACTCAAAATTAAAGTGGAAAAAAACACTACCGGCTGATCCAACTTTGATGTAATGTCCTTAAAACAAGTCAAAATGAGGCTCAGTAGTATGTGTGGCCTTCACATGCCTGTATGACCTCCCTACAACGCCTGGGAATGCTCCTGATGAGGTAACAGATGGTCTCCTTAGGGATCTCCTCCCACATCTGGACTAAAGCATCCCTCAACTCCTGGACAGTCTGTGGTGCAACGTGGCATTGGTGGATGGAGCGAGACATATCCCAGATTGCTCAATTGGATTCAGGTCTGGGGAACGGGCGGGCCAGTCCATAGCATCAATGCCTTTGTCTTGCAGGAACTGCTGACACACTCCAGCCACATGAGGTCTAGCATTGTCATGCATTAGGATGAACTCAGGGCCAACTGCACCAGCATATGGTCTCACAAGGGGTCTGAGGATCTTATCTCGGTACCTAATGGCAGTCAGGCTACCTCTGGCGAGCACATGGAGGGCTGTGCGGCCTCCTAAAGAAATGCCACCCCACACCATTACTGACCCACTGCCAAACCAGTCATGCTGGAGGATGTTGCAGGCAGCAGAACGTTCTCCACGGCATCTCCAGACCCTGTCACGTCTGTCACATGTGCTCAGTGCGAACCTGCTTTCATATGTGAAGAGCACAGGGCATCAGTGGTGAATTTGCCAATCTTGGTGTTTTCTGACAAATGCCAAATGTCCTGCACGATGTTGGGCTGTAAGCACAACCCCAACTTGTGGATGTTGGGCCCTCATACCACCCTCATGGAGTCTGTTTCTGACCATTTGAGCAGCCACATGCACATTTGTGGCCCACTGGAGGTCATTTTGCAGGGCTCTGACAGTGTTCCTCCTGTCCCTCCTTGTACAAAGGCGGAGGTAGCGGTCCTGATGCTGGGTTGTTGCCCTCCTACGGCCTCCTCCACGTTTCCTGATGTACTGGCCTGTCTCCTGGTAGCGCCTCCATGCTCTGGACACTATGCTGACACAGCAAACCTTCTTGCCACAGCTCGCATTGATGTGCCATCCTGGATGAGCTGCACTACCTGAGCCACTTGTGTGGGTTGGAGACTCCGTCTCATGCTACCACTAGAGTGAAAGCACCGCCAGCATTCAAAAGTGACCAAACCATCAGCCAGAAAGCATAGGAACTGAGAAGTGGTCTGTGGTCACCAGCTGCAGAACCACTCCTTTATTGGGGAAATCTTCCTAACTGCCCATGCTTTCCACCTGTTGTCTATTCCATTTGCACAACAGCATGTGAAATTGATTGTCAATCAGTGTTGCTACCTAAGTGGACAGTTTGATTTCACAGAAGTGTGATTGACTTGGAGTTACATTGTGTTAAGTGTTCCCTTTATTTTTTTGAGCAGTGTATATCTTTTTCATCTCCTATCTATAAATACATTATAAAGTTTTGCTATTCAATCCAAATCAGTAAAAGTCCATTAAGAGTTACCAGGAATACAACACATATATTTTAATCTTAATCAAATAAAGTAGTTTTATATATATGGAGATTCTCAGTCATGCAGGTCATAGTTGTCCCAAAGATGCAACTGGACTTTCTGGTTTTTCTTTGAAGTTATTCTTGGATGAGAAGTAAAATGTCTTCAAAGAAAAACCAGAAAGTCCAGTTGCCTCTTGAAAAAGAATCTTTGGGACAAAGTAGTTTTATGTTCCTTTATTTTATTTGTAAGTTATCAATACAATAAAAAGTCTCTTCTTCCCATAATCTTACCTCTTCTATATATAGAAATCTTTAAAGCCTTATCATTTAGTTATAGTCAAGAGAAGTCCATCAACAACTATCAGAAGCAACATATTTTTAACCTTAATCAAATAAATCAACTTTATATTCATTTCATTTCCTTTTAATCTTGATCTTTAGTCCCTTTAGTGTCCCAAAAGTCAATTTCGTAGCATTTTGCCTCTTGTTAGAAACTTCTTCATAGGTTTAACACATCTCTTTTGTAAATCCAAGGTAAGAAACTTATACACACCATTTTGATTATTAATGTTCTGTCCCCTTTAATTAAGATATCAGCCAGTTTCATTTGTAAATCCAATGTAACATTTTTCCATATCATTCTTGCAGCCTAACATTTTAAAATCCACTTTCAGAACATTTGAATTAGCCCTAGTTTGTTTTCTCCAGTAAAATCTGTTTCTCTTCTATATTATTTCTGAATCCATTTTTATAATGGCAGACAATTTTAAGAATTATAGTAGTTTGTGGTTTGTGTTTGTGGTTTGTGACTACATTGTTCCCAAATATCCTTGAATTATTTTAAGATCAGATTATTTTTTTGTTCCATTCTATGTTAATGTGTCACTTTTCCTTTAATTATAGTTTTAGTTCTTTCTGGCTCCCTCTAGTGTCCCACCTTCAAAGTCCCTCTTATAATTTTTCTCTTAATTTATTATTTATTATATTTTATCCTACCTTCATTACTTTACAAGTAATTCAAAACAGTAAATATACAGAACATAACACTCCTTTATTCTTCTCTTTTCTTCATAACAATAACTGTGTGAAGTGAGCTGGGCTGAGAGAGTCACTGGCCGAAAGTTACCCAGCTGGCTTTCAACACTAAGGTGGGACAAGAACTCACGAGTCTCCTAGCCTGGTGCCTTAACCAGTAGACCAATCTGGTTCTAAGCAACAATTTCCCATGGGAGGGTTTCTTACTATAAATTTCAAAATCTTGCCCCTTAATTCATTTAGAACTTTCCAAAATCAATGATTTAATCACCCTTGTTTATTCAAAAATAAGAATTTTAAAGTCCTTGCATGAAACTTTTTTCATCAAGTTTAGGAGAAAACTCACTTGCTTGCCTTTCTGAGAATTCTTAATATCAAAATAATGCATTAACAAGCAATTCTGAAAAATGTTTGGGAAAGAAAATATGCAAACCTAGTGTCTTTTTGAAGGCTCCAACAGAGCCTGCTGCTAGGACAGAGATGACTTTCCTTCAGCTCCCAAAGCTCTAAAACTGATCAAAGATTGCTATCTTGTTTCCTCGTGAAGAGCCATTGTATGGAGTCCTTATAGGCAATCCTGGTTCTCTTCATGCTCTGGAGAGGAATTTCAGGGAGAGATCCATTCACTGACTCTTCGTTCTATTGCAGTTATTGGCTTCGCTCTCACAGAGTGTTTTTAGTCTGCCATTGCTTCCCTGGAAGTCCCCAGGAAATATTAAAGAATGGTCAATTTTGGAGGCCTGTAAAAATTCACTGTGCTTAATCAACTCAGTGCTTACACTCAATCACTATACAATGTAGCTCATTTGAGGCATAAGTGATAAGCAAGGATCAAGATGGCTTCTATAATAACAAACACTGAGTTGCCTCTTTTATGAGGCTTTTCATATTTAGCCCTTTAAAATGGTTACTGTCAGAAGGGGGCTCTGAATTAGCACTTGGAAGGTGAAGATGAGATGGAAATACCGAAAAGATGTCAATTATGTGTGAATATTCTAATTAATTGTTTTAAAAATGAAGTTGTGTGTCTAGTTTACAAAATATAAATATGGGAATCTGTTTCTCTTTCATGTTTCCTTTTATTTTTTACACAGGATGGTGGTTTGATGCATGTGGACCCTCTAATCTAAATGGTCTATATTATCCACTGCGACAGAACACAAACAAATTTAAAGGGATTAAATGGTACTATTGGAAAGGAGCAGGCTATTCTCTAAAGGCCACAACTATGATGATTCGCCCAACAGATTTCTAAAAAAGGTCTGCACTTTTATGTTGGAAAATTATGTTGACATAATTTTAATATACTTTGACAATATGGATACACTATGACCATTTTTTCTGCCTGAACAACATGCATATGCATCCTATAGGAATCAATATTTCTACTCCTGATTTCAGTATTGCTGAATTTCATCACAGTTCAGTCATGTAAGAAGAAATAACCAAAGCAATAATGATTTTAAAAGAAGAATGTTAGAAGGATTCTGCAGGACCTTTAAGAACTTCATTTTCATGAACATTTATGAAGTTTGTGCGTAACTGGAACTGTGAAATATATCTAGATTATCTAAAATTTCTTCAGTCTTAAACATTACTTTATATCTTACAATTGAACTCTTAATTGCTATTTTAAAAAGAGCACTGCTTTGTAAACTATATTGTATCTTATTATTCATGCTGTTCCTTGTAATTATGTAAATATTTTGTAATTAATGCCTATATCCAGATTATTGCCTTTAGTAGTCACATATTCAAGGATATTTGGTAGCACATAGTATATTTAATAAGACTGTATAAAAATATTTCTATATTTTACATGTCTTTTCTTTAAAATCCAGTACAGAGTATATAACAGACCACTATTTTTGTATGTTGCATATCAGATATTTGTAATACCTTTGCAAGTTATAGAACTCTACATGTGAGTATAATGTATAAGAATATTGGACTGTTCTTGTTCTTCTGTTAAAATAATACATCCTAATAATAATTTCTCAGTATTTTGGACAGTTTAAAAGATCTGCTTCTATTTACTCTAGCTTAAAGGGAAGCTGCTAATTAAAAGTTTGAACATCTCTTGAGGAACATTGATTTGGGATTAGTTGACATACGTTCCCTGTGAACATTTTCCATTGCTTACACTTTGTTATATGACAATCAAATCATTATCATATTGTATGGTAAATTAAAAAGCAAAATACTTACAGGAGCTGCAGGGAAATCCACTGACAATTCAAATGGCTCTTCAGAAATCCAATAGCCATGTTCCAGAGACCACAAAACCTAAACAGTGATGGAACCACTGAGAATTAATAGCTCTATTCAAAATGTTTAAAGCAGCCAGTAGTAAGATGATTATTAACAGCAGAATAGTTAGTATATTCAAGCTTTGTTTCACACAGCCGAGATAACTATGCTTTAGCTATACACTGTGTACAGCATATTTTACTTTACTGAAACCTCATCCGAAGTTTAGCCCATAATAGAAACAGGCTTCCAAGTTTGTGGACTATGCTCAGCTTTAAAACATGTTTAAGGACATAATAATAGTGCATGGAATTTGAATATATTTGTATGCTTGGTTCAGTCAACAGACCTTAATCACACAGCTTTTTGGAAGCAAATTTGCTGCATGAAAGAAACAAGGAAATGTCTGTTCAAGGAAGTGCACAAGTGAACTATGTGAAGAAGTTGTAAATTTTTTTCTTCTTTATTAAAATTTCCTGCAGTAGCAAATTCATTAGTCTCAGAGCAGGATTCAATCAATAAAACAGCTTTTAGAATATATATAGGATCAGGTCATGAACTTGGCTCCAGAGGGTCGTACAACAGAACATCAAGCTTATTTGACAGTTTTGACTAGATGAACAGAAAATTCTTGAGGAAACTGAAAATCTTAACTTGTTAGTTGGTAAATCAACATGCATTAAACCACTGTTCCTGTGCCATCGGAGAAATTGATTAAAACCACAATCATGTACTCAATGGCAAGACTGTGAATACAAATGTTTTTCTTACATAGCCTACTCTATCTGCCCCAAAGTATTCCTTATGAGTGAATTAGAGGACTTTCCAAGTCTTTAATCAAAGTGGATACATCTAGGGAGATCTGATGGAAACCAGAAAATTCTCAGTGCATAGGTTTAAGTGCCGCCCACTTTTCTCACAATTTCTTTAGACGGTTGCCAACATTTATAACTGCTTGGCATAAGATTAATTAGTTCCGGAAATTGCTAATATGCTACAAAATAGTTCCTTCACAAAGCACAGTTGAAATATATATGTCTCAAGAACAGTATTTCTTGTGTGAGTCTTTGTTAATAAGTTCCAGATTCTCCACTCCCAAATCCATTCCTCAGTGCTAAACGGTACATATGCAAAATAAGAGAAACAATTAATCTGTTCATCATTTGATCAGTGGTGAACAGCTGGTATGTTCAAAACAGTGATTTAATGTGCCCAGTGCCGGAAGGAACATTACAAAGAGACTATAACAAAAGATCAAAACAAATGCAGTTTAAAATCAGTCAATGACTTTTTCCACAGGAACAAAATGACATCCTCTGTGGTTATCTACTTAAATGTGCCATTTCCTCTACCAGCCCCTCTTTAAAAAAATATAAAGGGTGAGTGTCCTCTTTCATAGTTTTCACCTGTAAAAATATTTAATACTCTTATTATCTGAAGCAAAACATTGTCAAACACTTGCTGAATCTCCTTATATTTTGCATCAAATCATGCTGGAATGAATGGCCCAGAAGCATTAAATATTGGATAAGAAACTGAAATATTCTGCATATAAACTTGGTATGGTGAACTATCTGTTTATTTAGAGATATAAACATATTCCTTAATTGCAGTACATCAGATGAAAAGGTGTTTATAACATCTAAACAGAATTCTAAGAGATAACTTTAAAAAACACTCTTAAGTTCTTTCCTCCATCGTGTTTTGGGGCTAGCTGCCAGGAAAAATCAAGGCAATAGTTTCCCTCTCACCTTAGCTCTAATAGACATTATATAACTTATTGGAATAGATAGACACCCCCCCCCCCCCCAGCTTTAACACAACATCTCTGGGACCTCTCCATTCTACCTGAAATTAAGGTTCATCCTTACATCTCTAATATCTTATAGCATGACTTCTCCAAATACTACACATTTTTATTTCAGAAGTTGTCAGGTCTGTATCTTGACTTTGGATCATGTGCCTCTAGGCATTCAAGTCAGTATGGATATCAATAATAAGAAACCAGTTATTCAGTTTACAGGTAATACAAATCAAATCGGTAAGGCAGCATTGAATAGGTTAAACACCTATATAGTCCACCTCTTCAAAAAAAAAAAAAAAAACAGCAACAGAAAAGTTGCAGTTTAAAAATTATGTTAATATACAATAATAGTGTAATAAGTTGTATTTACAATCCTGGTTCAGAAGCATCTGAATGGAGATAATTTCTTTGAATATGGTTATAGAAAATACAATCCATCTGTGACACAAATCCCTTGGTATTAAAGGCCTTCCTGTTTCTGCAGCTGCACTTGATTTCTCTCCAGTCTGGGAAAGTGGGATATTACAGCATTCTTTGAAAATCAATATGTATACTTTGAATGCAAGGTTATCATTCATTTGAATGCCTGTGTTATTGTCTTGTTTCAGTAGATATTTTGTAGCAGGAAGGCTAAATCTCATAAATACATTTCTTTACAGTCAGAAGAGGGATTTTCAATGATCATACACAAAGTTGAAAGTATAAACAAAGAAGGCATCCAGTTGTACATTTTAATAGCCTCCAATTTATCTGTACATTAATAATCCAAGGAACAGGTAAGATCCAGGAAAATGTAAGCCAGCCTTTTATTTTTGTCAGAGAGGTTTTCTTATTTCCTCATATTTCTTGTACCTCCAGTATACTTTGGTCTGAGAGGGGGAGAACAGAAGAGCTTGAAGGATCTGTTTAGAAAAAAATCTGGATTTTAGCATTTTAACTGCAAAATTATTTTAGTGTAGAGTTTTCTCTAACATGATTTATAAATTACCAACATTCAGAATTTTATATATAAACTACACTGGGCAACCTGCAGTCTCAAGTTTAGAGCTGACACCAGGAACTTTTTAGATATTTGGGGCCTCTTCTCTCCATGACTGATGACAATTATAGCATAGTTTTTCATTCTTGTGAGTCCATGAATATGAATTTGGATGTCTTGGTCCCACCTACAAGTATTCATATGGCCAAATTCTCTTTGTAAGCCTCCACCATCCACAGAATGTAAAACATGACCAAACTATTACACATTTCTGTTTTTTAAAAAGGTAGGAATGATATTGTGCACATTTATATGCTTATTATTTTGCTGTAAAAATTAATACTTAATAAATTTAAGCAACCTTAACACGAACTTTAATAGTTCACACTGTGTATCTTATGTATTCATTTACCATAAATGTCACCAGATAATGATATTTTAATGAAAAAAGTCTATTAGTAGTCATCTGTCTTACTTACCCAATCATAACAGACAATCCAGCAGCCTCGAGCAATTCCCATAAGTATATTTAAAGTCCGACGGGGGCTCCCTGCAATTACATGACTTGTATTTTTGCATACTTCATCAGAAGTCAGAAAACCACCCAGCTTTTTCAGCACCTGCAGAGTTATTTTCTGCATTCTTTAAGAAAAAACAGAAAGCAGGCCTTAATAACTTATACTTCTACAGAAACGATTTATAGTTACAATATAAGCATTATTATAAGAGGTATATCTAAAACATAAAAATGACCAAAAGATGTTTATTTTGGACCTACTTTATTGAAAGTAGTCTGACTTCAGCAACGAGCTATTTCTAGCTGTAAAATGGAGTTTGGGACAGCCCTATTTGATGTTGAGATATTTCCAATGAGGTTGGAACAGATGTTTCAGGAGTCAGAATGTTCCTATCGTTGAATGTTATGCACATATTTAGGGGTTCATGGTAATTTATCACCTTCAAGCTAAACTTATATCCCTTTGAAAATGAATCAAATCTGAAATTGGTACAGAATCTAGCAGCCTATCTATTATCAGATAAGAATTAGAAGACACTAATCTTCTGAATGCTACACTGTTTTTTGATAAAATTCTGGATCAAATTCAAAGTCCTACTTTTAAACCAGATGGCTTGACTCCCATGTATCTCCAAGTAGAAGCATCTTATCCATTATAAGAAGTACACAGTTCTTATCTATTCATCCCAGGAAAGAATGTTTAAGAAGCCAATTTTCATGAAGTATATTGTGGTAGTGGTGCTCGTGATAAATATTTTTCTCTGGAGGGAATAGTACTCTCCACTGGTTCAGTTGGCTTCCATTTTGCTCCCATGGGAAACCCATAAAATTGTATTGAGAGAACATGTGGATTTGATGGTGACTACTGGGAGAGGACAGCAGGATCTGTTGTGCTGTTATTAATTTGATATTTGAATTAGTTTAAAAAATCTCTGAATTTCATTTATATAAATAAGCTGTCTTATTCCATACTACAATTTGAAGAAGTTAATAAGGAACAGCACAGTGAGTACTGTTATAAGCATGAATTCTTTCATCATACAAGCAAACAAGATTGTAAAAAACTTGTTTCCTATCTCTATCCTAACAAAATCCATAGAAGTATACTTTTGCTATAGTCCCATCTAAAGTAGTTTTACTCATTTCTCTTACATAAAAATGATTTTAAGCAATTAAAATATGTGTTTTAAGACACTTAGAAAATTTATACTATATATCCAAAGCTAATTTGAATCCTAGGGATTGAAGTCTTTGTATGTCTATATTTTTCCTGATTGTAGCATATAAATATGAGCTATTAATGGAAGTGTTATTTCCCAAATGTTGCCATAGGCCTGCATTAGAGGCCAGATTGGCTCAGATTTTAGGAAGTTGAAATCCAAACATTGGGGGATACTAGACAAAGGCAGTTTTATGAACGAGAAAGATATGAAATACATGTACATAGAAGCATAATCACAATACCTGGTACTTACTCAGGAGACATGCTTGTCATGACTAATGTTCTCAAAGGCTAAAGATTTAAAGAAGGAAAAATAAATCAACATATTTGTTTTTCCTTAACGATGTCCAATTCTGATTAATATCTAAATCATAGAAAGATTAAAGCTTTTTCATAGATCTCAATATTTAGGAAGAAAACTGTAGTTTGTCATAAACACACCCACATGAAGGAGCCCTGTACATATGTAGGGTATCTTCATGTATGGAATTCCTGAGTAATTCTCAGTTCCCTGCTGCAAAGTTAGAGAGGGTACCACTGTACATCTCAGTGCTAAACATGAGAAACTAGCACACTTCTATGATCCTTGAACATATTTTTTCAATATTTTTAAACATTTAGTGTGGAAAAAAGAATGCTGTGAAAACAATGAAGATGGTAGGGTCACTTGAGCAAAAGACTATTCCTAGAAAACAGCTTTGATGGTTTAGTACTTTTCATCTATAGCTACTTCAGATAATTCAACATGAGGTTGCCAGTATTGTACTTTAACTGCAAATATTTGTCTTCATGATTTACCCATTCTAATTGAATATTCTAAATGCATCAAATAGAATTGGCTTTCTGAAATTTGTAAAGATCTTTCCCTGTACGTGAAGCTCATTTATTTTATTGTAAAATGATGTGCTGCATCTTCAGTATCTAGACTGCTGAAAAGCTATACAGAACAATTCAGCACATGCAAACTATAGACATGACATATCTTCAATGATAACAGCAATTCTTCCAATTACTCATAAACAATATAATGTTCTACCTAAAAACATTGCTTAGATTTTGACCATGTGGAATGGTCTGTATGGTAAATAAACAGACCAATTGGTTGAGGTTGAAAATAAATCCAAATACTAGAAGATGAAATGTCTTGTGACACTTCTTAAAAACTTGTTGCTGCTCATCGGAGTTTAATGAATTTTTGTTTCCATGAATTAGAAAGAGGAGTGAGTGGATGGGTGAAAAGACAATTTAGTTGAAAATCCTCCTGCTATTAAATCAGGTGGCTGATGATGGCTCTGAACATTCCAATACTTGAGTTAAAAGAAAAATAAAATGATTATAAAGTAAAGGATACATATGGCACTCTGTTCTGTCAAATCAAATGTTGGTTTTACGAATATATTCAGAAAACTTCAATTCTAAAAATATGTAATAAAATGCTGTAGAGTTCAGTTAGCTTGTCCAGTCAATCCTGTTTTCCCTCTGGGTAGATTAGCTATTCAGTGGCTTGTTATGATTTTGTGTCCACTAAAGATTAGATTTTGTGGTCTCCCCTTAGTTCTGCAGATTGTAAGGTTCCCCAGACCTGACACACAAAACATCACTGAACATGGGAAAAAGAAGAAACAGTTTGTTCTACTGGTCTTACAGCCATGATATACCAACTCACCTTTTCAATTCTCCTAGTAATCTTTAATTTCCTATCAGGCTCATTCGTATGGTTCCCCAAAGATTTACAAGCAGTGTTTTTAGCATCACTCGTTGAAAATTTGGCATTATCTAAAAACCAGATCCATTCAGAGTTAATCCTAATCCATACTATGAAAAATGTAAATGCTGTTAATGTATTAGCACAATTGTAGCCTTGCATTGTTCCTGTATACTTTTCATGATCAGGTACAGTTCTTTGATTTTTGTGTTTTTTTCTACATTGTATGGCTTCTCTAAGAGTAATTGCAGTTCTAAGTAAACATTTTAAAAATCATTTTAGGTATGTAATATCTTTCAAAAACTCACCTTTCATATTGATTTTTTGCAGGTCCTAATTTGAATTTTAAAAATGAATATTTCCTTTTATTTATCTTTATGCCAGGCAAACCAGCAGTTTCCCAGATTACACCAAGATTTCTCTTACAGCCTATTGCATCTTCATAACTTTTCATGGCAGAACTTTATTAGATTTTCATTCTGCAACTTTATTATTACTAGAAGCAAACTCCCTTTAAAATGAAAACAGCAGTGAAGGAAAAAATATTTTAAAGTTGAAATGTTTAAGTTCAAAACCATTATTTAGATCTTTCTCGAAATGTTTCTGTTCAGTTCAAACTAAATCAGTTCAAATCAACCTCTTATAGTTCAGAATATTTCCAAATTGTTGGAACAGCTTCACAACCCAAAACTGAAACGGCTATATACCTAAAAAAAAATAAATAAATCTAATTTCGTATACTTCGCATGTATTATTTGAATTCTAAGATGTCTGCTCTTAAATTCAGCTTTAGTTATAACTGCATTCATACCTGGTTGCTCACTATCTTCAGGCCATTATTTCCACCAACTAACAGATGAAATATAATTAATACAACATGTAACATAACAGAAGCCTGAGCTTTATGGAATATATAACGAAGTCTTTGGCTGGATGGGAAAAACTGCTGTGAACATCAAATTTCCTGATATAAGATCTCTTGGCACAAAAACAGGAGGTATGTGCTCTAATATACCATGAAGTAAGAAACGTCACTATTCTAGCCATACTGTAGATATTTTATGAACATATCTGTACAATTGTAAATACCTATTCATGCCATTCTCTGAACAACTTTTCTTTTGCCCAAAATCTATTAAGTACTTCTGTAACTATCTTTTTAGGTTTGCAGGCAAATAGGAGAGGAAAAAAAAATAGCAGGGGGAAAAAGTTATATTGTACATGGATATTCTAAGATTAGGATGGTATAAATGAAGGGATCACAGCCAGTGAAAACAGTATCAGTAGTATGGCATTTTCTAGGCATGATTTGGCCATGTTAACTTTTAAGGGTCTATTTTGGAATTGTTTTCCCAAACTTCAATGCATGCTGACTTTTAATACAAATATAAGCAAGCTTCAAACGCTGAGATATACTTCACCTTTACAAGAAATCTTTTATATAAAAACATAGTTGTTCATAAAGACTAAGCTGCATCTGGGAATTGGCGTTCTTCAAATTCTAGCCAGTATTTGACATATAACATTATGCCAAAAAGGAAATGCATTATTAATCCTTCTATGGGACTTAGGCGTTTATAATATAAGAAAACATGGAAAAGCATGTCTCCAACACTCATCACTATAAAATTTGCAGGTAAGTCTCTTACAATCAACCCTAGTAATGGTAACTATAGCTAATGAGGACATTTAATTCTCACATAATCTTGTGAACTGATACTAGGGCAATGATGACAAATAAGTGAAGTGATTTAAAGTCTTACTATTGCCATTCAAAAAGACGAGTAGATTAGAAATGAAAAACCTAGATTCCAGCAGGCCCACAAATCATGTACAGATGTACATATTCAGTTCTAGTTTGAATTTGATATTGCATTGACTAAAAAAGTACATGCTCAGCAAATAATGCTGCTTGTAGAGTAATTAAAATGGCATATCATAAAAACAGCAACACTTCTTTCCCAATACCTGAAACATTTTTTTAAAATATCGAGAGCTGTCCAGGAAAACAAATCTATAACATAATTGGAACTGAAAGTTTGGCTTCAAAGATTATATCACTCATTGCCCTGGATTTGGTAGAAAAGACACCATGTATATACTCTTATAGTACAATAATGCACAGTTCAGATAAAGACATTTCCCATCTATACTTTTATTAATTCAAAATATCTAGGTAGCAATACACTATATAGAAAATAAATCACATTTTATATCCAAGTAGATAAATATTTGTAAGAAATTTATAAATGAGTTATTGGTGCTCCTGGTAAGGAAAGAATTTATATTTTGTGTCAGGCTGAATATTAACCCATGTATTAACCATTATGCAAAAAATAGTTCAGAAGAATTGTTTTACAGTTTGCACAAGACAGCACCTGTCCGCTACTTATAACAGAGCTACAGTATCTCCCCCGCTCCGATTTCCATGTAGCCTAAAAGATGTGGCTGTTTTAACAACTGAAAACATATACTATACTTGTGAGAGGTCTGAATTTCCTAATTTTGTTTGAAACATAAGCAGAAGTAATCTATCTTACATACGAAAGAGATTCAGTACAGTCATAATCTGTATATTAGATCAAGTATTAAATGTAAAGAATGGAGCTCCTGCCACTCCTGGTTCTGTGTATACAGTCCAATATAAAATGTTAGGTGCCCACAATTCTTCTAGAATGATATGTGAGGAGAGCCTGAGGTCAGTGTTTATTACATTAAACTAAGAAAATGCACCTAAAACAAACACTACAATCTTCAATGATTATTGGTTCGTATGCTGACCAGAATTAACATATTAATTTCATAACTGAAGCTTACAGTCAATGTACCTTATAGCACTAGATTGCCGTTAATAGATGAAACAACCAAGTTTTAATTTCCACATGTAAACCAGATTTTAATTCAGACTGACCCTTGATTTTAGATGTAATTACAACCTAGCTAACTGAAGACTCATATAATCCAATCTGTACTTATTGGATCTAAGTCAAGATCCTGAGTTTAATTTTGATTGAATAAACATGCACAGAATTAGACTATAACATTACAAACTGTCCTGGTTTAGTTATGTGGAAACACATTATAGTACACTAAATTTTACAGTCCATGGAACACTGAGCAATCAAGTGCATATGCACAGTGAAGAGCTTTCTCTTTTAAAGGAATATTACCAAGTAGATGTATATGATATCAATTTCAGCAGAATTTTCACCAGACTCCAAAAATCCGCCTGAAAGCTGACGTTGCAAATTTAATTATTAAAAGCTTCATATCTCTTAAAGGTTGTATCTGTAATGAATTCTCAAAAAACAGAATGCTATAGAATAAAGCTATCATTTTATAACAGAGAACCTACTTTACCAGTTAATTCCTGCAGAAAAACAAGAACACTCAAAATGTAATTATATTTTAAAACTGAATCAAAAGAATACAGTAATTCTTTTCAGTAGACAAAGCCTTCATATATTTTTTATTGAAAACTATATAAAACGTAGTTATTTCACTTTCTGAAGATCAAATTAGGCTTCTCCATGTTTTGTGCTTTATACATCTATACATACACATCTTTCTTGAAATTAAGGCACTGTATTCACAGACCATTATTTCAGATGCATCAGCAAAAGGACATTCAGTTATATTTAGGAAGCCAAATATTAGTTATTTTCATAATTCATTTAACATCTGTTAAAAAAACTCAAACATTAAATCTGTAATTCTCGTACGTAACCTCTTTCTAGCATTTTATAAGTAGATTTTATACAATGAACCTTTTAAATATGTATTTTAGAGAACAATGTATGTTTTCTAGACAGCAGCATTAATATTGTACAAAATCACATCATCAGATATGCTTTCCAGTAATGAAAACCTCAGAGTCTATAGATATATTAAGTCTATACTGTCTTTGTTTCAATTATTTTCAGGAATGAAATAACAATCTTCATAAACGTCCAGTGTAGTCTTTTTAGACATTCTTAGGTAAGATTTTAAGGATTTAAAATTAGAATTTCTAAGTTTTATTTGTTCAGCAAAATGTCCACAAAACTTAAATATAGTCTTTATATAAAGTGTCCTTCCTTTAGAGCTGTAAATTTTCAAACTGTATAATTTTTTGGAATTTCTGCTTAATAACTTCCTGGTTACAGTAAAATGATTTTGCTATACTGATTTTGAATAGGCAATTCAAAATTCTTAACACTGCTAAAAACTGTGGCTACACAGGGAACCAACATGAAATTATATGGATGGAATACGAAGTATTCAATAATATTCTATCATCAGACACATATAACAATTTTTCATTACTTTTTCCTTCTGTATATTTGAATTTTATCTTTATTTTTTTAAAAACATATTTAGAAAAATATTCTTTACATAGAATATTTCTTTAAATATTTTTATGCATAGACTATTTCCTTTTTCTAAATGAGATTCTAAAAATACCTCTGCGCTCAATTATATTTTAGAGTGAAGGTTTTCAGACATTTAAAATAATTCTGGATGTTATTTTGCTGGACAATTATCTTTCAATAACAACTTACCAGCTGTAGAACTGGTTGTGATCTGTTCCTGAATGTTGGAATTTAAAAAACAGTCTGAAGTTTCTACGTTTCCATTTTCAGTATTTGATGTACAATTTACACCTGTGTTTCTCCTTTGAAGAAATGTAGATAGCCTGGGCTCATTTACTGCATCCTCAGTAATCTCAGTCACTCTTTTCCTCTTTCTGTTGTAACTTGTACTTACTGGACTAGAACTTTGCAACATACCTTCTAGTTTGCTTCTGGGAGAATTATACTTAATTTCCTTGTCATTCTGTAACTTTTGCTGACATGTAAGGCTAGCTCTTATTTTATTTTTAATAAGGTTAGATGAAAAACAATCTTCAAAAGAAGAATCTTGATCTTTAGTAGACTTAATTGGAGTAAGCAATGCAAGTAAGAAATCATTCTGAGGTTCTTTATCATGTGATATAGATGCCTTCAGTCTAAGGCTTGATTTCCTTCTATATTTTCGTTGTTTGCAAAGAGAAGAATCTTTAGTTGTTACTGGAGTATTGATTAGATCAACTGAAGGAAAGTCATTGCCAGAACTACTGTTATTTTCAGTAAGTTCACAATGGACTATATTTTCAACAGAAACTGTATGGTCCACATTTTTCACTTGAGGAAGGGGATTATCAGCAATGCCTAAAAACCAGTCAATACCATCTCTGCATTCTGGAGTAGTAGACATATCAATTAGTGACTTTTTGACAACGAAATCACATCCTTTGTTAGGTAGGATTGAATTAGTGTATAAATCTTTACCACTCAATTGCTTTAGGCCTTTGTATTGCGAGTCACTTGGGGAACCAGAAGAGGTATATAATTCAGCTCTGGAAACATCCATCACAGTTTCAGTACTAGCTAAACAGTTGCTTGATTTCTTTCCAAGGTTCTTGGTTTCGGGACTTCCAACCAAATTGGCAAAACTTGAATTTAAAAGGTGATTACTCTCAAGATCTATAATCAGAAACAGTTTGTTATTGAAAAGCACATCTTATTTTTAAAGAAAGTTAATATGAATTAAAAAAAATAAAACAGAGTAAGATAAAACATTTGAAATGGATTACCAGCAAAGAGAAGGGAAATGGCTATGCCTACATACAGGTACATGTGGACAGAACATCCCCTGAAACACCTCTACAGCTTCCAAAGATACCATTGCTTCACTGGTTTAAAGAGGGATTCTTTAATCACTCTAGCATACTTTGTGAATGCCTTTTGCAAATATTTTGTCAGTAAAAATATGTCACATTTGATGCTATTTGTCCAAACACCAAATTTGTTCTTCCATAATACTTTGGATAATCTCAAGTGGAAATTAAGGGACTCATTTCTGTGGAGCATTAGTGGGTGAATGTTACATTATTGTATGTTCATTGTTCATTGTTTTTCTACAAAAAAATAAGATATCTATGTAACCAAAGCAGTGTATTTTTCTTTGAAATAAGCCTAATTAGGCTTGAATTATTTTTGTTTGAAAATCAAATGTATATATATTTAACTAAAGACAAGGGATAATGACAAGGGATGATACCAGGGAGTTCAGGCATAATGAATTGAACAATTTATGTAATTGTATCAATATTACAATAATTTATGCAATTGTTTTTTTTTAAAATGGGACAGCTGTAACTCCTCCCCAAAATGCCTGCTGAATGGTAGGAACTTTTCTTTTTCCATCCAACGATTTGTTGATTTTACTATCAAAGCCGGTTCTTTGGCAGTGCTGCTCCCTGGATTCGATGGGTTTTAACTCCACTTTATGAAGTTTTTGTTTCAATTTTGCTTTCTTTTTAAAAAAAAACTTGACCAGCTGGTTGAATGCCAAATCATTTTCATCCCGTTGGACTTCATTTGTTCTTTTGCTTCCCTTTTCTCTTTGTTGTTGAATAGCTTTTGCGTTTCCATAAGGAAAACATGGTGTGTTCCTGAGTAGTGAAACTGCTTTTATTTGATTTACATCTACATTGGATTCTCACTACATGGTTTCTTCTTTGTTTCTTTTTCTATTTATTCACTTTGAAGAAATATTACTCAATGCTTGTGCTCTCTTATCTATGGTTGTTAAATTAGAGAGCAACAATGTATCAGATTATAGATAAGTAAATGTGGCTAACATCTGAAAAAAGACCATTTGGTAACATGCAATCCCTATTTGATTTTTTTTTTAAAGTTTGATGAAATGATAATGACTGTGAAAAATATTCAGATACATGTAGCTCTAGATAAATTACTCACAAAAGGAATGTGATCTGAAAGCAGCTGTTTTGGTGGAAAGAAATATGGTTTTTACAGACTTACTGTGTTTCTCATATAATAAGGCCGGGTCTTTTTTTTTTTTTTGAGTACCGAAAAAACGGCTAGGCTGCCTTTTCGGGGGTGACAATTCCCCCCCTTGCATCTTCGGGTGGGCGGGTGGCGACGGCTTGGCGTTGGTGGGGCACTTCGTATCGGGAGACCTTCCGCCACCGTTGCTTTCCCTTCTCCCTGTGCCGCTGCGGCATTTGGAGCATCGCCGTGGCATCTGGCGCAGCCACGTGGGGCCAGCCAGGGCTCCTCCCTGCAACTGGAGCCTGGCGGAGACACTTGGCTTCAGGAGCTCCTGTCGCCGCCTTCCCGGGCATCGTTCAAAGGCAAAGCCCATTCTTTTAAAAACGATGCCCTACTATGACAAAGCCTCCCCTGCTCAATAGGGAAGCCCAACCCCACGTGGGGAGGCGAATCTCCTGGGGCCGCAGCGCAGGATTGGCCCACCCTGGGAGAGGTGCCCAGCTGCCATCCCTGCCTGGCGCCAGGCAGAGCATGAAGAGCTTCGCCTGGGGCGCCCAGTGCAGCTGACAGGCGAGCCCTCCTGCCCGGCGGCGGAGCTCTGGCCAAGGCAGCGAGCGCCTCCCCACCAGGCCCTCCGCTCATCCTGCCAGGGCCGCGCCAGAGCTGGGCGGGCTGGAAGAGCCGAGAAAGCAAACCGCACCTGTGTGCCCGCCTGCCAAGTGAAAGAACCGGGCCGACCTGAGCTTGGCTTCCCAAGTCCCTCCAGCCCGACCCCAAAGGGGCCACTGGGAGAGGCCGCCTGAGGTAGTGATAGCACTCACCCGTCTGCAGACGGGGAGGCGAGGCGACGGCAGCGCTGCTTCCCTGGCCGGCGGGTCTGGTGGAAAGAGCCCAAAGCCACCCGTCCTTTTCACCCCTCGCCCAGCCCGTCCCCACGCAGGTCCAAACGCGCCGGCAGCTCCAAACGCTGCAGCAGCACAGGCATAGTCGCTCACTCAGCGGGGCTCAGCTCAGAGGACACGGCACGGGCTGTCACCTCGCCTGTCCATGGACAGGTGGGCACTATCGCTGCCTTGGGCGGCCTCTCCCAGTGGAAGGAAAAGCAACAGTGGCGGAAGGTCTACTGATACAAAGTGCCCTACCAATGCCAAGGTCAATGCAGGCAGCACCATACCCAGGTGTGCAGCAAAAGTACTTGGCAACAGTTAGGGAGGTTGGTGGCAAGGCATGGCTACCCGTGGGGTGCTCCTAACGGCAAGCCACCCACCCTTCCCATTTCGCATGTTTTAAAATAGGCCTTAATTTGGGGGGGGAGGGGCTTAATTTCATTTTATGCCTATAAAACATGCTGGGACTTCCTATTGGGGGAGGCCGTATTGTTGGAGAAACATGGTAGAACAATTGAGTCAATTGCACATGCCTCCCTGAAGTTCAAGCCTGCATTTTTAGCAGAAACTTGACCGAGTGGAGAAGTGATAAATTGGTTTTCCCTATGAAGTTGGAGTTTGGAGACACATTTCACTGGAAAACAATTTCATTTTCTACAAGTTGATTACAACAACAGTTTGTTAACAAGTTTTGAAACTTTAATCTTGCCCTTTTCTATTATTGTTCTTGTTAGCTATTTTGTCATTAATAGAGTATATAGATCATAGGTTAATAAACTGCAAATAGATTTAGCAGTTTTAAAAAAGTGGTCTGTTTCACAAGAGGTGGGAAACTAATGTTGTAATATATTAATCAGTATTCAATTAGAGGGGATAATATGTGTATATGTGTTAGGTTTTTTTATACAGTTTCTAAATGCTGTCCTTTGTGTTTTTCTTTGTTTTTTTTTAATTTTGGGGGGGAGTTTTGTATTTAATTTTTTTTGAATAAAATAAAAATAGAACCACAACAAATTATAAATAAAAAATGGGACAGTTCCACCAATTGTTTTCTTGTTTACATGACCCCATACTAAATTTACTAATACTAAGATTCATTATCTGGATCAGAGTAAAGTTCCATTTTCAAGTAATCTTGGGTTGTGATTGCCTCTGATTACATGTTAATGTATTAATGAGACAAAGAATTATTAAGGGCTTTGAAATTGGCTCATGCATATACCATAACTAATTTGTTTAGGTTCATGCATACAAATAGTGGTGACTTCAGAACAGAAACTTCAATTTTCCTTCCTTTAACCTTGAAGACAGGAAAAAAAGGAACCTGAAAAACCTAATAAGTATTTGCCAATCACTAAACTATGCATATTGTATAGAAAAGAATATCAGCTTAGTTATTACACTGCTGCAAATTGTTCTTTCATTAAATTTGGATTTTTTCCTTGGTATTTTGATATTTTAAAATCATTCTGTTTTAAAATATCTTTAAATGTTTGTAAATAGCATATTTAAATGTTTTTATATATTTGCAGATTGCCCTAGGAAAGGAACATAGTTCCAAAACTCATTGGGCAGAAATAAGATATATATCATATAAATCTCCTTGACAGTTCATGAGAACTGCTCTCTTTTGTCTAATCCTGCAGTCAATGTCGTCCATCTTTTTTTGGTGTTCCTCCAAACTGGGCAATCAGTTTCCATGTTTGGATAAAACAGGAAGCTTTAGTTCACTGAATAATGTGAGTGCAATCATTCTGCACCATGAAGAGAAATAAGGAGTGTTCTGTCCTATATGTCGAAATGATATCAAGATTTAAGTCAGGAAGTGATTGTCAAGACATCAATTCTAGATCAGCAATAAAAAGGTGATCTCAAGAGTTCAAACACAGAATTAAAAATACATGTCCATGTTCTAATAATTACTGTATTAGTAGTGCTCTTTTTAATAACAAACAGTAAAACATACTAGGAGCACTAACTGTTTACAGTAGCATCTTTCTTCAATAAAATATTCCACAGATTCCTTATCTGTTAAGAGAGCACTACAGGGTAATTCAAAATATTTATTTACAGTATTATCAATTAGACATAACTGCTGGGTATTTTTGAATGCAAATATTTAAATTTTATTTCCAAAGTTTTTTTTTCTTTTTACCTGAAGTCAATGCTGAAGTTGAGGTTGCAGACACAACAGCAGGGTCAATGTCAGACATCTGAGATAACTGTGAAGCTAAAATGTTAGTTATTAGATTTATGTTGAGTAAGCAATTCCTAAAGACTTTTAAGGCCAATATTAATATGTAGTTGCATATTCAATAGATGTATTTCCTGACAATATTTCATTACAGTGCTTTTAATATTTTGGATTCTTTGGTATTAAAAATCTACAGATTCTGAGGGTTGTATTAAGCCATCATACTAAGCCATGTAAGAGCTCAGCATGCTATAGCTAGGAAACTACCACACAAATAAAACAATAAGTCTTCAACTTAATATGTCTTCTGAATGATACGTCTCCTCTAATCAAAGTCAGGGTTTTAAAAATATTTATTTATGGCTACATTCATTTGTTAGCTTGATAAATTCCAATTTCAGGCCAATAAATTTAAATATGTTCAAAATCTTGAAAAAAGCTTTTTCATTCCAAAGATTGTATTGTATTACCACAGAAATAAACAAAAATTCTTTCTCAGAAATAAAGCATTTCTATTTTCAAACCTATTTCAAAAATCTTAAGATTAACAATATGAACGTATTTTAATGTAACACAATATACTGCATTTCCTTTGCAGACATTTTCACAGATGAAAAGTGTAGCCACTTTCCCCAATTTATAGTAATCTTACATGCCTTATATAAATGAGCAGTAACAACATTCTTCTAATTGTCAGATACCAAATTTAGCCTTTCTGTTTTTTTTTAAAAAAATACAATTACTCCAAGAACAAATCACATCTATACTTCTCTATTTTCCTATTTTCTTCTACAGCATTACACTTTTCTAATGTTTTTGCATTACTTATGACTTTTTTTCTCATGCCTGCTTGAATACATTTATAGTATTCCTTTAAATTCCATTTTTCAAAATATCAGTATCTTCCCATTTAACTGTCTAAAATTTATAGAATTCCAGCATTCCCCCACTAGTTTTATATCAGAGCTTTTCAACAATTTTATTTCTAATTTTTATTTCTTCTGTTGAGAATTTGTTGGTTCTTTTTTTCATTTCATTAGAGCAGTGGCAGCCATAACTGAAGGAACCTTTATTTAATCAATCTATATAGGCAGTTCAACAATGACTCTGGACAGTGAACAATAAAACAATTACATCCACCCTATGTCTAAAATATATGTTTGATTATAAAAATCAGTAACATTAATTTTTTAGGTCTAAAGAAAAAAACACATTCCAGCATATGGTTATTTTATTGTTTCAGAGATTTTATTCATAATTGTTCAAATAATGATGGAAGCAAAAGTGACCAAAATAAAGGGGGGGCGGGGAAGAAATGCATTTCTTCATTAAAATATATATAGATTAAATTTCATTTTAACAGCCAATTCTCTAACAAGGATGTGAGAATGGGGAGGAGGCATATTGGCAAAATGGAACCAATAACTGATAAAAATCCAGCAATAAAAAGAAAATGTAATTCTGCATCCTACAAATGAAAGCAACATTTATCATCATACCAGTAGGGGAAACATTTTCTCTTTTCTCCTTCATGTCCTTTATTCTTCTCTCCATTACACTGCGCTGATACTTTATTTTACTTGCCGGGCTGTATACCAGTGAACCATCATCTTCAAATAATAAAACAGGTATGTCTGTTTCTAAAAAATGGCAAATGATCAATAGAATTTTACATTTAAGAAGAAAGAATATATACAATATTTTGAAAGGGTAACATTTGGAACTTGGACATTATTGTAACATTCTGAAAATTTTAAAATAGTCTAAAAAAGAGATCTATATTAAAATGCTGCAACATATTGGGATCATCCAATAAGAAAGTTTTTAGTCAATTCTAACCATTAGACAGAATAATCTATTTTTTCCCTGTCATGGACAGGGAAAAATCTAATTTATTGTAGTACAATAGTCTACAACCAGATGCTCTTCTTTTTTCAAAAGTATTGTTCTAATGTTATTTAAAAAAACTGGTTAGTACTTCTGCAAACATAGTCTTATTTTTTATTTTTCATAGTAAGCAAGTGTATTATATTAATTATTGGCATCAATTGCCCAACATTTGGAATCAGAGGAAATATTAATTTGATTCACATTACCTGCAGAATAGAAACTTACTTTATATGTAGACTGCTTTCAGATTAGCGTAACACTTAAAAAAACTTTAAAAAACTAAGAAATGAAAAAATTATTTCAAATATGTTATTTGATTTGCAATACCCTACAGCAAGGGTGTTAAACTCCTATCATCACAGCGACATATGGGGTTTTTCTCCCCTTTACTAAACCGGGCATGGGCATAGCCAGCGCTTGATGTATCTGGCCTGCAGGCCAGGAGTTTGACAGCCCTGCACTACAGCAATCCATGTGTTGAAAAGGTTTCGTGTCTAAATTGTGGGCTCTGTATGTTCCTCTTAAATTTGCAGGGCTGTGGGATCTATGATTCTTTGTTCTTTGTGTACGTGCTAACACATCGGAGCCGGAGTAAGGACAAATTGTTGCCATTTCTTAATCAGAACTGTAGCAAACTTAAACTTTGCAGCCTTGTATGCTTTATGCGAATGATCAGTGCATGTTGTGTGATGTAATGCGTTTGTGATAGGACGTTAACAAAAATTGCTACGTTAACAAAGATTGCTTCTAATAAAAGAGGGTTTCGGAGTTTGCTCTGGGCTCTCATCCCGGGACAACTTTGCGTTGTGTCTTTTTTCCATGAGAGACCACCACACAGGGCAAATTTAGAGAATATACCCTGTTTCTCCAATAATATGGCCTCCCCCAGTCGGAAGTCCCAGCATGTTTTATAGGCATGAAATAAAATTAAGCCCCTCCCCCCAAATTAAGAGGCCTTAATTTTAAAACATGCGAAATGGGGAGAATGGTGGGGGGGGGGGCTTGCCGTTAGGAAGTACTTTTGTTGCATACCCGGATATGGTGCTGCCTGTGTTGACCCCAATACGAAGTGCCCCACCAACGCCGAGGTCAACATCCATCGCCGCCCGCCCACCCGAAGATGCAAAGGGGGGGGGGGAATTAAGTCACCCCTGAAAAGACGGCCTAGCCATTTTTTCGGGGCTCAAAAAAAAATAAGACCCGGCCTTATTATATGAGAAACATGGTATTAAACATCACTTTCTCCATTCAAAGCTAATGATCTAGATAGTTATGTATAACCTTTCTTCTGTCTGTAAAAAGTATAAAAGATTAATGCTGTTACCGTATCGAAGTACAACTGAACAGCTTCTTACCCAAAGGAATATGGAAAGAGTCCGCACATGGTCTGACCCTTGATCTCTCCACTATAATTTGCAACAGTTTTTGCTTCTGGCAAACAATGCCTATTTAGAAGAATGGATTTGTACTTACAACCACAGCATTAATGACTGTGAATTTGCTTAATGATCACAGTGAATTGCTGCAAATAATGTTGTAAAGTCAGGCAGTCACATAGATACCTCACCTTACAACCATAAATCTAACCCCAACTGCAGTTGTAAGCCAAGGACTATCTTTCATGAGAAGAGAGACTTGAGAACTGGTGAGAAAAGAAGGTGAAGTGTGCTCTTTCTTTGTGTCAATCTTTCTTGCCTTTCCTGTAAAATATTTCAGTAGATGGAGGTAAGAATGCTCAAAATATCAACCCCCTTCCATGTTTTATATTTCTCTACGTATTTTACAGTGATCTTCAACATTTTAACATTAATTCAAAGAGCTATTATAAAAATTATCTCAAGTGTCATGATATATTAGCATTATTTTTCAGTGCAAAGGCTAAGAGGTTTAACAGTGCAAATGGATCATATACTTGCCTGTTGCTGCTCTTTGCATTTCTAATTCTTTAACCATAGTTTCCATTCTTTTTTGTAATCTACGATCTGTCTCTGGAGTTTTCCCAAATAAATCTTTGGGCTGCATGCATTTGTGCTACAAAATAAAAAGAGTCATTATACTGATATGTAAGTTTTGAAATAATACTTTAATATGAAACACTAGACTTATCCTTACTACACCAATTCTACAAAAATAAAAAGTACTTTTCACGCATCACTGCAATATTTGTATTGAAATATGTTCACATGATGCAATACATTTTCAAATAAAAATCTGGGGCTAAAACAAAGGTTGAGTGGGATTATGGCAAGCAATAGCTCCTTGCATATTTTATCAAATTAAATGTTTACTAGAAAATCATCTCAGGTTAATACAACAAATTATTTTAGTCTTTTTTGAACTTTATGTTTTACATCAATACATTGGGAACTGAGATCATACTTAACCAGTTTTAATCCTTCAGTCATCGAAGGCTTTTAATTAAGAGCAATGTAAAACAAAATTAAAGATGGCACTTAAACTAATAGGAACTCACTATGCATATACAGACCTTTTTAATAAACTGAGGTAACCCTTCATTAGTATTTATTGCAGGATATAATGACTCATCAATATGCATTCCAACTTCTCTGCATCTGAGAAAGCATTAAGAATACACATTTGATTTAGTATTAGACAGATTTACTATTATTATTTCTAGGTAATTGAAACCTTTATATTTCTAACAAATCATGCTCAATTTCATACGTCTATTTATTTTTTTAACCTTACTTTTATCTTACCAAGATCCCAGAGAAGCAAAGCTTGCCCAGAAAATCCAGGTCAACAAATAGACCACTTGTTTGCTTGTAAAAATCACATTACAAATGCCATGTTATATTCATTTTGAGATGGGTGAAGATAGAGCACATGACTGTAAAAGAGCTAGCAGGCTACACACTAGATAGGGGGAAAATGTAAATGCAGAGGTCACATTCCTGTTTTGCTGGCAGACGGAGTCCAAGACCAAGGCTTTATAGCAGGACTTAAAATGTCAATCAGGTCAGTGATTCTACATTCTGAGAAATGAAAGCCTTTGCTTCTCTATGATCCCACCCATGAAAGTATCAAAATTTCAGTTGCAGATAACATAGAATAAACCATTCCTTGAGTTGACAATTTTCTGGCTCAGTACCTTAATTCAGAAAATCACCAGTCACCTACAGCAACCACTTGCTACCAGGCATAACTGTAAATTCTTATATGTAAGCATGCCAAGAAGTTCCAATCCAATCATGCTTGATCTAATAGAATCAGCTAGGACAAATCTGAAATCTGAACATTGTAGTCAGTAAGAGAGAACATGGCAAAATAACTGCCAAAGAGATGTTTGTTTGTTTTTTGCTTTCCATGCTTTCCTTTGTTTTTTGCTTTCCCAAGGATCCATAGCCTGCTTATAGCACTTAATATAATGGATGGGTGACTTATAGGTCATCTAATCAGACTATGTAGTATATAAGTGTAAAACTTCCAAACATAAAGTGACACTTAAAAATAATTCTATAGGACACATCTGGATATACATATCATCTGAATATTTGCTGAAGTATTTTTACTGTAGAACAGTATTTTTCAAGAAAATTGTATGTCTCAATTCCAGAAATCTGTAACAATACAACTCCTCACTTGCTGACTATTCCTTCAGTGACTGTTTGAAGCTATGACAGTGCTGAAAAATAACTTTATGGACCATTTACAACCTTTGCAATGTCCCTCAGTCATATGAATGCCATTAAGCATGCATAGTCCTGTCCTTGACCTGTTTTTTTTTCTCCCCATAAAGAACAGATATTTGAAAGTAAGGCTTTTATTTATTTATTAAATGCATTTTCTCAATGTGTTTTGCTTTTGACCTGATTACATTGCTTCCAACGTGCAGAAGAGGAAACAGTTTGTTCTCTTTAAATCTCTTTTTCTCCAGTCTCTCTCTCCAATCTGCTGGTGTGAGTGCTACTGAGTGATTCAGTGTTATTTATAAAGATAAATTTCTTTTACAGTATTTCTCATTTTTATTTTTAATTAATAATTGTTAGTTTTGTTTGTAATATTTACCACAAGCTGCTCAACTCTAATGAATATTGCAACACTCATTTTGTCTACTTAAGAGAAGCAGAGAGGCAAAGAGTGAATACTGGAAATAGAGAAAATCATCAGTAAAAGAAAGAAATGTACAATGTTATTCTCTGCTATAACAAGAAGAGATTGAAACCACTAATTAAAAAATGAAAAAGGGCTCAGAATGTAAATTCAAAGTCTTGTCTACTGTCGTAATATTCTTTTCTATTTTTGATATGTGATTTCTTGATCTGGTGTAGACTTCTTTCTTTCACAGAAAATATAGTTAATTCTCAACTTACGAACACAATGGGGACAAGCCTGTGATTGCCATTTGCAATTTTCACTTCTAGGCTTCATAAACAAAATCATATGGCAGGAGCCAGCAGGATATGGTGATCACGCAACTACAAAGACACTGTGACCATGTGGGATTCACCTAATAATGGCAACTGGGACTGCAATCATGTGTCTACGCCTTACAACCATGTGGCTTAGTAACAGAGTTTCCAGCCCCAATTACTACGTGCAAGTAAGGACTTACCTGTAAGGCTATGAAAATATGAACTTCAATGAAAACTTTCAAAGAACTAGCAATGGGATTTTAGTGACATCTAGTGATCTTACAGATGCAAACAGAATATGCCATACCACACAAGAAATTTGACATACTTTACTAGTTAAGGTGGAAACTTACATGCCAAAAAATGAGTCTCGGGATTTTAGGCATAATAAAGGTTCAAATTATAATTCTAAACAGCATTTGAGGTAATTTTAAACTGAATTGGTTTTTCTTTGTATTTTGTCTTAAGCTTGGTTTAGGTATTATGTCGTCATCAATAAGGTATGTGATGCACAAAAAAAGCAATCACTGCACTGTATAACTAGTATAGGAGCTCTAATCAATCAAACAAAGATGGAAAGTTAAGCTAATTTCTGGATCACTGTAATGCAATTTAAGAACTTTAATAAAATATTATAGAAATTCATCTTTTTAACTATGCTTATAATAGCCAATATTTCCTTGGAAGATTAGAAGTTTAAATGTTATATTAAAACATATTTGTAGTTAACTTCAATTCTATTATAACTTCTCAATTGACAGCAAGATATATTTATCAAAGCTCCTACACTAATTCAGACCATTGCTTTATTTCATGCATTATTATTAGCATTTCCTATTTATTCCCTGCCAGCAACTGGGGACATTTGAAATCCACATCAATTGCACTAGTATTATTCTTGTAATATTTTCTCCTCTGGTATATTTCTAAGCATCAAAACTTACTTTTCTACCCAAAGTACTGACACTAGTTTAATTCCAGCTTTTTGAGCTCTATTCCACGTAGACAGGAATCCATCTTTAAAGATCACATGAGTAACTTGTTTATTCAAAGTCTTAGAAATCTACAAAACATAAAAGAATAAAGCATTTTAAAATGTTATCTATATAAATGGTTTCTGAAAATAGTTAAGATTCTTCATTTCTACTGAAAAGTCACACATTATTTCATGCTTTTAGTAGGTAAACAGGGAATTTGCAGATTTTAAAAGTAACATTAATTCCATCAGTACTCTATTTAATAAAGAGAAAAAAGTTGCCTTTGTAGTAGGTCGCAGCCAGGTGGTTGGGGACTCCAGATGTAATGAGTGGTGTCATATGAGCTAAATTTAATTAGCTTTTATTTTCTATTATCTCCTACTTTTTTTAACTACTACTTATTCCTTTGAGATCCGCATGCTGTAGTTTACCTAATAAAAATAGCCATGGTGGATGTACAGTATATCTTATGCAAAGTATATAAAAAGCAGTTGAAATTAAAAAGAAACAGACAATACATAAAAAAGGAATGTGAAATTACTTAGCCTTAGTTGTAGTCTGGTGTTTGGAGAAAAAGATTTCATGGAGACATTGTGAAATCAAATTAAAGATTAAGCTATGCCAAATCTTTGAATAGTGTGCAACTTTAGAATTTTAAGAATTCTTTATCAAGCAAGATATTATACATCAGCAACAACAAAAATAAGCAAACTATTTGCTTTCTTGTATCTCCAGTATCTAGGAGGAGTTGGAACACCACAAAAGCAAGCAGGTAAAACAAGTGATGGAGTTGCTTTGCAAAGGAGTTTTGAAAGGCAGGTTTACCTGAAGTTTACTGAAGTGAAACATCATTTTTAAACTTTTTACAACTTTTAAAGTTACCTGATTTGGGTTCCATTAAAAAACAACAACCTCCATTTCTGTTAATGTAGAAATTGCCTATTTTCTCTAAAGCCACTGAAAGATTTTGCCTGATGGTTAGCAACTATTTTGGCTCCTTCATCTCAACAGACTGGAGATGGCACTGGTGAATTCTGAAATCATTTTGGTATCTGCCTATTTATATCCTTCATATCAATAGAATTGAAATGACATATTCACTCACACATTTAGTTACAACATAATTTGATTGGATTAAGTTTAGAGTATTCAATTCAATCTCTAATGATTTCTGAATCATGCCTTATATTTATGCATGTTGCGCTTTATTAAAAAAAGGTTAAACAAAACTATGGACTAATATGATGTATACCAACTGGCTTAGTTACTTACTTTTGCTCCCATATCAAGGAGCTGTTGAGTAAAGGCTTTTGAGTAGTTTTCCGTTCTGCTGGATGACCATACTTCAACATATGCTACAACACCTACACAGCAATTATGAGGGAAATGTTAACAGATCAATATTTTCTTGGGACTACTATTTTTTGGATCAAATCTTTAATTATTTGAATGGCATACTTCATTTTCTCATCAGCATCAAAGCCAAAGGTGAGGCTTGTTAAAGTCAATGCAATTTTATCCCAAATACATAGATTACAGACCTATCTTCTGTTATACATTATGCAGCTATTCCAAAATCGTTTTTATAAAGACTAAATTGGATCGATGATAATGTACTGTTTTCGAAGTTTTCGTTAAGCACCCCATTTTTATTTGTTGAAATCATGTTTAAGAAACAGCCTGCAAATTTTTGACATCCAAATGGTGAAGGGTCTCATGTATTTGGATTTTAAATTGATTGCCTGCAGATGAGGCTGTCTGGGTGGCATGGAGTGTCATTCTGCCCTAAAGTTAAGAAAAAATAATAGAATTTGGCGGACATTAGCATTGCTCCAACTCCAATATCAAAGATTATTATTGCTTTAATAGCAGCCAAGGACACAAGCTGTCATATTTTTTAAACACAATGCCTATAATTTACACACCAATTTGTAATTTTACAACACATAGAATTTTAAAATGATTAATAGTTGAGGGATAAAGAACATTTTTAAAAAATGCATTTACCTGTATGTGCACTTTTTTTTTCTCCTATAGAAAATCTAAACACATTTTTCCTCCAGAGAGGAAACCTCACTAATCTGTGGCCCTAGAGAAGCAAGGAGGCATCTCAGATAATAGCGCAGGTCTACAATTGTACATTTCTTATTCAGGGGGAAGATCTCTCATGCATTTAGGAAAGCAGTAAAAAAGAATGTTTATGGGGATTCTCAGTCATCCAGGTCATGGTTTGTTAGTTTACTTTACTATAGTTAGTTTATTGTCATTGTACCTCATATAACAAAATCAAACACGATTTTCAGTGTACATCATGACCATGAAAATAAACACAAACACATCCTTCACAATCCACACATTGAACCGAAAACCCCCGACAACACACCAACACTGCACTATACAGTAGAATTCAACAGAGCTACTGCCTATTTTTCAGCCTATCTGTCCTTGTTTTTATTATTCTGTACCATCTGCAGATGGTAATAGTTCAAAAAAAAAAAAAAAAAAGGGTGCCCAGGATGAGATGGATCTTTGAGAATATTTTGAAATTTCTTAAGGCAGCAGAAGCTATAAAGCTCTTCCAAAGAGGGGAGAGGGCAACCAATGATCTTCTGGGCAATGACATTAACCCTCTAGAGCAGGGGTGGGCAAACTACGGCCCAGGGGCCACATCCGGCCTGTTGGTCATTTTAATATGGCCCAACTCTGAAAAAAAAAAAATCAGGGCCGGCCAAGAGACCCCGCGCTGCGCGCCAAAAAATTGCACACACAACACGGAGCTGGGCAGCTGCTTCCCTGGTGGCGGGGCTGAGGCCACCGCCTGGGGAACGCCCACTGCTTTCCCTTGCCAGGGCTGGGCGGTGGCATGTTGCCCTGCGCCGCGTGGCCCCCGCTTGGCAGCGCGCTTCTCGGCTGGTCTCCTCCTCCTCGGCCATACAGAACAAACAGGCAGAGAAGGAGGAGACCAGCCAGCTGGTTGGGGGAAGCTTTCTGCGCCGAAAGAGGCAGCTACTAATCTCCAGCTTTGCTCCGCTTCTCCAATGGTCCGGCACCACCCTGTTCTATGTGCCGGCTGCTCGGACTTGCTGGGCCTGACACATAGAACAGGGCGGCGCCGGATGTTGGAGAAGCAGAGCGGAGCTGGAGATCATTAGCCACCTCTTTCGCAGCACAAGAAGCCCCTCCCAATTGGCCAGTTGCTCTCCTCCTTCTCTGCCTGTTTGTTCTGTATGGCCGAGGAGGAAGAGACCAGCCGGCTGGTTGGGGGAAACTTTCTGTGCCGAAAGGGGAAGCTACTAATCTCCGGCTTTGCTCTGCTTCTCCAATGGTCCGGCACCACGTTGTTCTATGCGCCGGCTGCTCGGACTTGCTCGGCCTAACACATAGAACAGAGCATGCTGCAGGCATCTCGCGACAAGCCCCAGTACATGTGGTCACCTGCTGGCTGGCCGGGGCAGGCCGGGCTGGAAGAAGCACGTTCTTCAGAAGGAAGAAAGCGTGCTCCGGGAGGGTGGGTGCCGGGCAGGTGGGCAGATGTTCCGGGACCACTTAAAGGTCAACTTTAAGAGTGTCCCCATGGAAGAAGCCGAGCAAACGTAGTGGCGGCAGGGGTGACGGGGCATGTGTGTCCCTCCACAAGGAGTATGAAGTGAGGCAGACACCGCACCTCTCAGGAAAAAAGTAGGTGCCAAAGCCCTGGCTGTCACCTGGGAGGGGACCCGCCTCTATGTCTGTTCTCGTTCTTGGCTTCTTGGGGCGCTCTTAAAATCAATCTTTAAGAGCTGGGAAGACGTTTTGTTAGATCGCCACCAACTCATCGTTGGGAGAGGTGTATCCCCTGAATACATGAGAAGTTTTGGGCAAAGTTCTCTGACTTTTAAAACGCATCCGTGCGGTTTTTGCCTTCCTTCATGCTCCTTGTGCATGCCGGGAACACCTAACTGGAGCAAAAGAGAGCGAAGTTGACTACTATGAAATGAGCACCTTGGCTTCCTCTCTTGTTCCTCACAGTTGCCCTGAGCTGGTGCAGTTCTTTACTTGGGCAGCCAGACGCCTGCAGCAGCGCCCACAGCAGCAACAGGCAGTTCTGCCTGGGCTCCACTCAGGTGTCCGGCTGGGGCTGTCAGGAGTTGCTACCGCCGGCGCAGCTCCGCGCGGCTCCAGTCCCGCGTTGCCTTGGGAAGGGAAAGGCAAAACCAGGAGCCACCGAGCCTGAGCCTCCGGTGCCGCTCTGCCGTTGCAAAGCACTGCCGCGGCTCTTCCTTTTTGCCTTTCCCTTCCCGAGGCAACGCGGGACTGGAGCCGTGCGGATCCGTGCCAGCGGTAGCAACTCCTGACTCAGGGGGCCTCCAAGGGGAGGGGAAGGAGGAGAAGAAGGGGGGGGAAAGGGGGGACGCTTCCCAAAAAATCTTGTGCTGACCCAGCCCGTCTGTCAAATTTTAAAAGTCAATGCGGCCCCCGAGCCAAAAAGTTTTCCCACCCCTGCTCTAGAGTGCTGTCCTATCTGCCACTGCACAATTGGCAAACCATACCAGAGGTGCAGTAAGATTAAATACTCTCTATGGTGCAGTGGTAGAAGGTCACCAGCAGTTTTTCATTCAGTTATTGTTTTCTGAGAAGTCTCAGGTAGTATAATCTCTGCTGGGCCCTTTTGACCAGGGCTGCAATGTGGGCACCACAGGTCAGGTCCTCTTTTAGGGTAACACCCAGAAACTTAAAACTGACCACTTGCTCCACCCAGTCTCCATTGATAAGCAAGGGCTGGATGTCTGATCTGTTCCTTCTATAATCCACTATAAGCTCCTTGGTCTTATTGGTGTTGAGGACCAAGTTATTGTCTCCACACCATGAAAGCAATCGCTACACCTCATCCCGGTAGGCAGATTCATCCCCCCACTCCCAGATGAGTCCCACCACTGCTGTACCATCTGCAAATTTAGTAATAGTATTACTAAGCATGAGTGGGAATGCAGTCATGCACATAAAGAGTTATCCCAAGGGTGCTTTTCCAAGAGGAAACTGGACTTTGGTTTTTTCTTCGAAGAGGTTTCGAGAACTCTGAAGAAGCTTCTTGGATGTGAAGAAACACCAGAAAGTCGTTGCCTCTTGAAAAAGCACCGTTGGGACAGTAAAAAAGAACCTACTTAGCACCACACTAGCTTATTTCATACCCACTTTAGGTCAGGGGAGAGGAAGGAGAATTTTTTTTGTTGCAATTTTGTGTATGTATATCGTACATTTTTATGTACGTTAAAAAAAATTAATCCTAAATTATTCGGGTTTTAATGTTTTATTGTACTGATTAAATTGTACAACGCCTAGAGAGCCCCTCTATGAGGGAGATGGGCGGTTAAGAAGCTCGACCTTACCCTGCATATTAGTTTTTCCCCCCTCTGTAACTGCGACTTCCTAGTCAACGTGGCCCACAGCCGTGCCGGGAGATTGAGGCAAGATGAAGATATGCACCGCTACTTCCCATAAACTCTCTTCATACTTTAGGCTCCCCCCTTTACCTTTTCAATACCGCCCCCCCCCAATGATTTTTACCCCCCCCCCCCACCAACCCGTAAACAAAAGATCTTTCCTTCCCACCTCCCCCCCCCCCCCCCCGTTCGCGCTTTCTTTTCCCCCCCCCCCCCCGAAAAATTGCAGAGACCGCGCCCGTACCTGCTAAAACAGGCCGGCCGTTGCTAACGTCCATTCTAACCGAACAGTTTTAAACGAACTCCACGCTACCGTTTAAACGTCCCTCCGCTATAACCGCATGCGCAATGCAAAGCCAAGCTCCCCCCCCAAATCCGGTTCTGCAATGGCTTGGTAATACCCATAGAAATAACCCCACCCCCACCCCAAAATGTAGACTTTTCCTAGCTCTATAGTGAGAGATACGTTGCTCCACCCAATACGCATGCGCTCCGTTTAAGAATTGAGTTCGGGCGGCGGGGGCGGGGGCGGGGGAGGTGAAACGCAGCCGCCTCTGCTGGATTGGCCGCCTAAGTGATCCCGCGCGTGGAAAGAGGCGTGGTCGTCACCATTGAGTTTAATTCTGCTAAAGCATAAGTTACAAATTCTCGTGGTTGGAGTCACATGCGCGCGCTGTAAACAGTTGGAGTGGCAGATTTCCCCCCCCCCCAGCAGGTGTCCCGATTTGGCGCAGTTTTTGCAATCCAGATAGGGTACGCCTGATTACCTGGTACCTTTATTACAAATTGATTATGGGATCGTTTGCTTTGGGGCATATACAGCTACTCCTCGATTTGCAGCGCTTCATTTAGTGACCGTTCAAAGTTACAGCAGCACTGCAAAATGTGACATGGTTTTTAAAGTTTTTTTTAAGTTATTTTTTAGTTTGTTAGGCCATCCCCATGGTCATATAATCAAAATTAAGATGCTTGGCAACTGGTTCATGTTTGTAATGGTTGCAGTGTCCTAGGGTCATGTGATTCCCTTTAGCAACCTTCTGACAAAATGTCTATGGAGAAGCCAGATTCACTTAACAACCATGTTGCTAACGTAACAACAAATGCAAAAATTCACTTAGCTGTGGCTAGAAAACTTGTAAAATGGAGCAAAACTCTATTAACATGTTTCACTTAGCAACATAAATATGGGGCTCAGTTGTGGTTGTAACTCAAGGACTACCTGTAATTTTCCTCATACATGTTCGAATAAAGCAATGCATTCATGTATCTGGGTGTGAAAGTTACATTCATTTTAGCTATGGAAGTAGCTGTGTACGTGTACATACATACACACTTTTCACACCTGCAAGTACACAAACAGGTGTTTGAAGGCTGCAAGTCTATTCCTTCAGACTAACCTGAACTGATCCTCTAATTGTGGCTTATTCTTTTATACCAAAGTTTTGAGTGCCCATTTATAGTTTCATTTGAATTACCTGGATTAATTATTGGAGAATTACTGGGTTAAGTATTGGAGAAGACTTTCCAAAGTCCCTTGAACTGCAAGGAGGTCAAATTGGTCAATCCTAAAGGAAATCAATCCTGACTGGAAGGACAGATACTTGAAACTGAAGCTCAAATACTTTGGCCACTAAATGAGAAGAGGAAAAAATCCTAATGTTGGGAAAGATGGAAGGCAAAAGGAGAAGGGGATGGCAGAGGATGAGATGCTTAGATAGTGTTATCAATGCAATGAACATGAATTTGGACAAATTGGGGGGGTGGGGGGGCGGGCTGGCGTGCTATGGTCCATGGGGTTGCAAAGTTGGACATGACTTAGTTGCTGGACAACAATTCCCATGTTTTATAATGTTGCCGAGCACTGGTTCCCATTCTGAGCTATGGGAGCCCAATGCAAACTCTTGCTGCTAAAGTTTGCAGCTCTCTGATCACAGTCCCCCAATATCAGTTTTCCCTTATTTTGCCATACAATCTGGGTTGTTCTGTATTTCTTATTTTTCTTTCCCTGATCCAGGAAAATAGTCTAAAGTTAGCTTTGTGATTTCAGGGACTTGGCTCTGGGATTCTGAATTCAGCTGCCTCCTTCCCTTCACCTCTGTGAAAAACTGAGAGTCTTTAAATGGGATCTAAGGAACTTTTAATTTCACTAGTGGGTTCATGTGGAGCCTGAGTATTTGAATCTGACATCAAAATTGCTAGCATCCGGTATATTAATTCATGGGGATGTGTACACTCTTCAGGATGAGAGGACGTTCTTTGAAAGTTACACATATGGTTGTTGTGTTAGACTTGTTTTGGTTACAAATACAGTAGTAGTTTATCTTGGTTATTGTGAACTATTGCATGGAATTTTGCAGCTATTATTTTTCTTTTTATTTATGCTGGGACTTGGCAAAATGTGTCATCATCACTTGCTTTCCTTTCCTTCTTGGAATGCTTTTCTTTATTGCAGGAATAATTTCTGGTCACTTTAAAATGTGTATCCGTAACAGTAGATGGCACTATGGCACAATCTATTTACGAACATTTTACTCTGAGCTTAAAAAGGCTGTAAGATCCATTTTCAAAGATATTTTTTTCCTTCAAGTTTGCAGCTGAATGTATGTGTAACATATCCATAAATGCAGTATTTCCTTCCCTTTAAAGTCTTAACATGTAAAGCAATAAAATTGAGATATAAGACTGACATTTGCCTTTCCTTTCCTATACAGTTGGACAGACAGGTTGTAAAAGAATACTTCACAATTTTAGTGAGTTCTCAAAAAGATATTACAAGAACTTTTGAAGTGCATGTGCCCTTCCCAAATGGGCACAGTTCATCTTAAAAAGCTGGAAACAGTTTTATTCCCAGAGAACTTCCAAGCGGCCCAGAGTTACTTTTATAGGCCGGCCTATAAATTTTATAAATAAGTTTTATACAAGATAAATAAATCTGCTTGAATGCTCTTGCTTCAGTTGTGCCAGTTACATATTTTGCATCCTGATCATTCCAATACAATTTTACAGAAGAGTATGTAATGAACCCTAAAGGAATAAGGAAAGATAAAAAGGACTTTAAATTAGGGCATTTCTAACTTGTAAAACTGCAGCTGGACTGTGCTTATACAATCAGATTTTTTTTTTTTATGGCAGTAGCTGCAGAAAAAAGCAGGACACATGATATTTATACTTCTCCTGATTCAGAGCCTCCTGTTCTCTCTTGCTGTCCTATAATTTAAAAAATTGCCCCTTCTTCATTTGACTCAGCTGCAGGTTTATTTTTGAGTATTTGGAAGTCTGATAATAGGATCATGTCATAGCATTTTCACCATTAGGTCACACTGTAAAAATACACCCATTTGGCACTGCATTGGGTAAAGAGTCAAAATGATCAGTTGTTGAGGAGTGGGAGGAAAACATTATGAGAGCTCTGATATTTCTGAAATGGATGTCACAATAAATGTTAAAAGCAGGACTATGTACCAGATTAACGTATGAGACATTTGTGTGTGTTGCTAGGCTGCAAATTAATCCAAATTGTTTCACACGGTGATCTTGTTAAGATGCAGTTAAGTCTCTAGTGAAACTATTTTGCTAAAACAATTTTTCACTATTCCAGGTGTAATAGAAACTAATTACACAACAGCCACTTTTCTGTGTCAGTAAATGTATATAGGTAGTCCTCAATTTGTGGCCACAATTGAAACCAAAACTTCCATTGCTAAGTGAAGTGGTTATTAAATGAGTCACATCTGATTTTATGTCCCTTTTTGCTGTGGTTGTTAAGTGAATCATACAGTCATTAAGATAAATTGGCTTCCCTCAGTGACTGTTTGCTGGAAGCCACCTGGGAAAGTTGCAAATGATGATCACATTATCCCAGGATGCTGTAAATGCTGTAAATACATGCTGGATGCCAAAGATCAAATTACTGATCAAATTACTGTGGGGATATGTGATAGTTGTAAGTGCAAGGATTGTTGGGAGATCACGCTTCATATTTGGAATGGTTGTTAATTGCAAGTCGAGGACTACCTATATTTAACATGAAAAAGTGTACTGTTGTTACAGAGTGAATTAAGGGATTATGTTTATGTCATCTTTGGTCCAATCAAACTGTACAAGAATTGCTTGCTCAGGTAAATCAGGAAATCCAGGCAGTTCAAATGAATATAAAAAGGGTTATTGCAAGCTTAAGTTCTCTACAAGAATCTGAATTACTAATCATCAAAGCAAATTGGCAATAAGTAAATTCAAGGTGGAATTCAAGGTGGGCTGGACTTAGACCTCTTGTGGGTGCGAAGAGACTCAAGACTGATGGCATGTTTGACCCTTCCCTCGGGCTTAGCCTGGCTACCTCTTACACTTCCTCCCACTTAGTTCCTCCTGCCCTATGAAAATGGTTGCCTTTCTTCACTGCTTTTACTGAGAGAAGAACTCAATGTAATAGTCCAACAGCTGCCTCTTGTACATGTAATCAAATGCTGTCTTGGACTTCACATTATTATTTAATGATTTACAGTTCTCTTTTCTAGCAGTGAAAAATATAATTCTAGACCATTTTCCAGGAATAGATGGGGCGTTGGTACCTGATATCCCCGTTCTCGGTGAGCTGCGACGAGCATCCAGAGAGTGGGAGGTACTTAGTCTCTGCTTGGATAGGCTGGGCTTATTTGAATAGGATGCTGTTACTCCTCCCTGGCTCCTCCCTAGTGTCCCCCAGTTTTGGCGAAGATGAGGTGATGCAACCCCCATCTCTATATTGGTCTGTTTGCATGTTTTTTTAAAACTTATATCCAGATTAGTCGTTGGCCGGAACAGGACCCCACCAGATGGATATTGGGTGGGGCTGGATGCTTGTCGCAGTTCACTGAGAACAGATGTATCAGGTAAGTACCAATGCCGCTTCTCCATTGACCTGCTCTGAGCATCCAGAGAGTGGGACATACCAAAGCTTGGCTTGTCCTACAGGAGGGACTCCACCTGGGTTGGAGCTCCCCCAGTGTCTGAGTGGACTTGTTATAACACCCTCCTACCAAAGGAGGCTTCAGCAGAAGCAAATACATCAATTTTGTAATGTCTAATGAAAGGCAATGGGGAGACCCATGTTGCTGCTCTACATATTTCTGCAATAGGAGCTTGTGTGGCCCAGGCCGCTGAAGTTGCTGCACTCCTTGTTGAATGGGCTGTGATGCGCCTAGAAGGAGAAACTTTCTGCCCCTGGGAGGTTGGCTGAAAGGATATTAAAAGAGCTTCAGTCTTTCTGAAAGGAGCCGTTCTATGTAAGTAAGTACGGAGAGCTCTGTGGACATCCAGTTGGTGCCATTGATGCTCTAGGCCCTGAGAAGGTCTGGGACAAAAATTAGGGAGAACTAGTTCTTGTGACCTGTGGAAGGCAGAATTGACTTTAGGTGTGAACGTGGGGTCT